CTTGACATGATTAATGAACTCAAGGCTAGTGCCTGCCAGGATGACGTCATCAACGTAGATAAGAGCAATCACATGGATGCTCCCCCGCCGAAAGATAAACAGAGAATGATCAGCAGGAGACGGTCTGAACTGCAGCTCACATAAGGCTTGAGTAAATTTGTGATACCAATTCCGTGACGCCTGACGGAGACCATAGAGAGATTTGTGCAAGCGGCACACACGCTTGTCACCAGGAGCAGCAAATCCCTGCGGAATACGCATATAGACCTCTTCTTCTAAGTCGCCATGCAGAAAAGCATTATTAACATCGAGCTGATGAATATGCCAACCCTTGCTGACTGCAACCGCAAGGAGACAAAGAACTGTAACGAGCTTAGCCACCGGGGCAAAAGTATCATGGAAGTCGACACCATTGGCTTTGTTTCCTGTGTAATAAATGTCGAGGTGCTTTGGCTGAGTGCGAACACGATCGCTGCGCCTTGGAGGCGGCGGTTGAGGATAATAACCTCGAGGAAGTGGGGATGATCCCACGCTGGAAGGAGAATCCGCAGCAGGCGAAGAAGCTTCTCCCATAACAGAAGGCGCGGGCGGGCTTGTTGTGAGCAGCTGGTCGTCCGGCCCATCTCCGAAACCTGGGGACTTGGATGAGGTCGAGGGCCCAGCGGAGGGAGGATCCAAGACTGGCGGATCAACAGACTGAAGGTCTGTGGGCGACCGGCCCAAAAGCGGTTGTCCAGCTGTGGGCCGAGAAGGAATGGATCCAGATGGGTTTGGATCAGCAGACAAACAAGGAGGGCCGAGCTTATCCTCCATGTGGTCATCTGGACGATGAAAAGCAGTGCTGGGTAGCCAGGGAAGCTGCTCGAATGTGCCATCCTGAAATGGAAAAATAGATTCATGGAAAACAACGTCACGACTTGTATATATCTTTCTAGTACGAAGATCATAAGCCCTGTAGCCTTTTTGAGTGGCCGAGTATCCAAGGAAGACACAAGCGCGACCACGTTCGTCAAATTTTCCAAGGTGACCATGGGTATCTTTACAGTACACAAGACACCCAAAGACACGCAAGTGAGAGTATGTGGCGGTCTTGCCAAAAATCACTTCATACGGCGTCCGTCCGGTGGCTGTGGTCGGTAGTCGATTGATCAAGTATGCTGCTGTAAGAACGCATTCACCCAAAAACCGGACAGGTAAGGAGGCCTGGAAACGTAAAGCTCTTGCCGTTTCCAACAGATGGCGGTGCTTACGCTCAACAACTCCATTATGTTGCGGTGTGTCCGTACAAGAAGTCTGCAGGATAATGCCTTCCTTTTCATAAAAGGCCTGCAACACGATAGTATTAAACTCGGGACCATTATCAGCCTGCAACCGCTTCACCTGTTTACCAAACTGGGTGCGAACAAGGTTGTAGAAAAACTGAATATATCGATCGACCTCAGACTTAAAACGCATAAGATAAACCCATACTCCTCGACTAAAATCATCCACGATGGTCAAGAAAAAATGTGCCCCACTGTAAGAAGGAGTGTGATAACCTCCCCATATATCCAAGTGCAACAGCTCAAAACATGACGAAGTTCGAATGCCACTAACAGGAAAAGGTGTTCGAACCTGCTTGGCTCGAGAACAAGAATGACAAAGTTCACTGTCTGTAGTCATAGGAAAAGAAATAACACTATGAAGCTTGGTCATGACAGCTCCAGATGGATGACCTAAGCGTGCGTGCCATAGCCTCTTATCCTGCTCCTTCTCGTTTGCCACGGCATTAGCCTGTACTCGACTGCAACCAAATAACTTCAAAAAATAGAGACCATCTCGAATCTCACCCTTCCCAATCACGCTCTTGGAGAGTAAGTCCTGTATAATATAATGCAGAAATCACCAAGAAATATTAAAGCAACATTATGTTCTTGGCAAAGACGGCTTACGGATAGGAGGTTGCATCGGAACTCCAGAACATACAAGACTCGGCCAAGTGTGACCCTATCACTTAACTTAATCGAGCCAACTCGTTTGACCGGCACACTAGTCCCGTTCGGAATTCGAACAGGCTGGCTTGGCACATCATAATCAGATGATAATAAACAAGCATCATTCATTGTGATATGGGCATTACACCCTAAGTCAATGATCCACTCGGGTGCATCAGAAAAGGAAAACATACCCGCCATGTGACTCACAGGATCGGGTGACCCTTGGAATTGACTCCCAAATAGTTGCTTCAGCTGTTTTAGCTGCTGTGCGGCAAATCCAGCAACCTGGCTGTTGTCGGCATCAGCTAGAGAGGTCCGCGGTTCCCTGTTAGAGTCGCGGCCAGAATTTGAGTCGCGCCCCCCAGAGTCTCTGTTGCGGCGACGATAATTCTTCTCGCCCTGCTTGTCTCGTTGAGACCAACCTGGAGGGTACCCTATTAATTCATAGCAAGAGTCCTTCAGATGGCCAGTCTTCATGCAATGGGTACATTGCGGCCGCTCTCGTTCCCCAGACGCTCGCTCACGATGGCCTCGACCTCCAGAGGCGGGCTTATCTCTTTCGCCTCGCGCCGCAAAAGTTGCTGCCTCCGTGGTCGGCTTGCGGTTCTGTGTGAGAGTCCTTTGTTGTTCCTCATTGTAAACGATTCGGAATGCCTCGGGGAGAGATGGTGGTACTGGCATCGAAAGGATATGGCTGCGGACAGTGGCATAGGACTCGTCCAGCCCAAGTAAGAAATCAAGAAGACGCAAACTTTCATTCTGATCACGGCTGCGGCGGCCACAAGCACACGTTGGCGGCGACAGAATTGCTTGGGTTTCTTCCCAATTCTTGCGCAAGCTAGTGTAAAAACTAGAAACTGATTGCTTCTCCTGTTGGAGCAAACAAACATTGCGGCGTAGCTCATACGCCCGCGTCAGGTTCGCCTTACTGAAGCGATCCCGTAAATCATCCCAGATTTCTTGTGCAGTCTTGGCGTGCATGACGCTGCTGCGCATCTCAGCATCCATGGCTGTGCGCAACCAGCCTTTAACCAAAGCATCACACAGCGTCCATATGAGAGATTGAGAAGTATCCGCGCCCTGCGGACGAGGTATGGAACCATCTACAAATCCGATCTTGTTCTTTGTGACCAGGGCGTCAGTCATCTCCAAAATCCACTCACCATAATTTGACGAGGTCAACACACTGCTGACATGAAGATGACCCGTACTATCTGATTGGTTGATGAAGAATGGGCTGTGCACATCGAGCTCCTTGTCTCTAGGGCCAAACCCGACTGGTTTCGGTGAAGGCGGCGTCTCTAGAGTGGAATCAGTTCCCGACATGCTTCACGAACGAGAATAATCGGATCAATGCTCTGATACCATGTAAAATATCCGATAAACGACGAATAACTAGACACGAGACAACGAGATTTACGTGGTATCCCCGATTGACGGGACTAGTCCACGGGAGAGCAAAGCTCTACTAGCTGATATTTTATTAGGCTTATTCTTCAATGGTGGCCGGCGGCCTTACATGGTATTTATACCCTTTCTCTATCTCAACTAGGGCATAACAGTGAGGGCAATCAAACAATGAACATGCATGGGAATTAGGAGTCCTTGCACAATACGCATAGGATTTGGACTTGTCCGAGGCCTCGACAGCAGACTGTTGGGCCGAGCCCATTAATACGAGAACATTTTTTTCTACGTCTCGGTGTCGGTGATTTTTAATTCATGTGTCAAACAAGTGATTCAAATCCGTCACAATCGATATCAAAGTTATGTTCAAGGAAAATGTTTTGGATGACCTAAATTTTACATATGTTAGTGTTTACCACTGAAAAAATCAACTTGTATCACATCAGTTAAAAACAAAGAATTAAATGGCTTTATAAGACCAACTCAATTATAACAATTAAAATCAATTAAATGTGTCACGTGGATTGTGTTTTTGGGCCCATTATCCCATATTATCATGCGCGCCACTCTAATGCCACCCCGGACGTGGCAAGGGGGTGGGCACCATATAGCCACCCCCAAGACGTGGAATGGGGGTGGTCATGTGATTAAAATACTCACCCATATATGGCACGTGGTATTCCGTCATGCCTTAGCCATTTTTTCTCTATAGACAAGCGAAGCTATGGAGGAGATACCAAGATCAAGGAGTGAGATCTCAAGAGGAGGGGGTCAGGACTGAAGAAGGTGGCACATCCAACGTCAGGGTAACCGTCGAAGCAGTTGAGAGGGTAACCGCCACTCCACGTCAGCAGAGCAGTTTCTCGAGGCAGTTATTTCGGGTGGCTATAAATAGGAGGTGAAGATGACGGAGAAAGGGTTCGCAAAAATCACAACTCGAAACCACTTGTCAAGTTTTATATTTTTCTCTTTTCCTCTGCAAATTTTAGCCATAGTCGTAATTTTGGAGCTCTCACTGAACCTCCATAGGAGTAGGACTAATTTAAGGTAGATTTGCCTCGTAGTTCATCAAAACATTGAACACCCTTGTTTGAACTTTGTTCAAAGAGGACTGTGTTGTTTGATCGTTTGTTTGGAAGTCAAAAGTGCAAAATCCAATTATGTTCATCTAGTTTTTCTCGCCGGGAAAACAATTAGAATCCCAATCTTATCAAATTCTAACAATACAACATGTATACAACCTATCATGGGCCGTTCTTGTTTGTAATCGATTTGCCCACGTAAACATTAACGAAGGAACTTTGAATGAATAATTGATCACAACGTATAGTACTATTGACCGGTTATAATTAGCTGTGTATAATCAAGTAGTAACCGGGTTGAAGTTTGAAAATGTTGGATACAAATTAGGATATAGAATAGATTAAGAGAGTAAGAGTTTGTTCTACAGCTGACTAGACTACAAGCATAACGGATAGTAAGTTTTTTTTTTTTTTTTGGTACAACTTGTAGCAAAAGCGAACGACACAAAAACCTAATAATTAATAGTACGACTGATTAATTGCTAATTTCAATGGAAATAAGCAGCTTGATCGATCTATAATTTTTTTTTTTTTCTCAACTTGCACCAATGAAACTTGTCCTTGCAGTGTCTTGGCCCGAAGAACCTCCCTCCTCATCGACGATAATGAGACTAGGGCACTCCCGTATGCGTATGAGCTGACTCGGTAAAGATGGTTTCAACTTAACGAATCCCCGAATCTGAGTGAGCCGCGGACATCTGTTGATCACTAGTTTCTGCAACTTGGTCGAACTCGACTGCAGACTAGGGATCGTCTTCAGGGCGCCACAGTTCTCGACGGTTAGGTACATCAAATGCTCCAGCCCCTCGAGCCCGTCCAAATTCACTAGATTTGGCGCCTCGAAAATCCTCAAAGTCTCCAACGCAACAAGCTGGTTCAAACTCGGTATCTCCAGGAAACCGACATGTATCAGATACAGCTCGGTCAACCGGTTCAATCCCACGAGGCTCGGGAAATATATCTCCCGATGCATGTAGTGGCGTACATGGAGGCGGGTCAGGGACGGCGGGAGAGCCAACATCGTGATGGCTCTCCGGTCGTCCTGGTCTGAACCATGGTTGTCATCAGAGAACCGTAGTATCAGGATCTTCAACTTGAGCAGTCGCGCTATATCCTCGAAAATCGAGGCCTTTTGAGGACAATGCTCGAATCGTAGCTCTTCCAAATCCTCGAGATCGGAAAGGTTGGCTACTACGGTGCGTGAGAGAGTCAGGCGGGTCAACCCTGCCGGCAGCAAAAGTAGTCTATTGTAATCCACGTTAATAGCATTTCTTGAATTGGTTTTCCATTCCAAGGCCTTGAGTGAGCTCAAGTGTTGTAAATCGGCCGGCAAGCTTGTCAGAGCAGAATCCAGCGCACTGATCGTTTGGAGCTTCTGAAGCTTGGTAGTAAGATTGTCGCCGCCACTTAGCTCTGTGATATGGGTTCGGGAGATGTTGAGCTGCCTTAGCTCGGTGAGGTTGCTAATGGGGAGTTTTCCTTTCATTGCTGAACAGTGGGAGAGATTGAGCACTTGCAGACTTGGACATGGAGACAAATCTGGAGGTGTTTCCAAGTCACGGCACGATGAGACATCCACAACTTTCAAGTGGCGTGCTCCCTGTACGTATCATCGTGATATAAGTTTGAATGTATATAATATAAGCACAATTTAAAACAACATTATTCTTTACTCAGAAATAGTAGTAGTAAAACAATTGCTAAATTATTAAGTAAATTGTTAGTGATTACATTACACAAAATTTTTGTAAGGCCGGACGGACATAATAATTTAATTAAAATTTATACATTTCATAACTTAATGCACTTATTATTAACTAAGATTTTTTTTCTTTGCGTAAATTAAAGTTTCTGTAAAATAAAGTTCATTTTACATAATAGTTTAATCAAGTGAGACTCAGCTGTAACTTGATTTTATTATTAGACCATACTTTATAGAATATTACATAATAATTTATAGGAATAGTTATTTCTTAATATTAATAAAAAAACAAAGGTGTTTAATACGTATGTCTTACTCAATAATTAAGACGTTATGCAAATGGAAGTGTCTTACTCGAACTGTTTTGTGAATAAATTTATTTCAACGAAAGATGTAATTTTATTATCAGAGAAATAATTAGTCAATTATCGTCTCCAAAAAAAATTAGTAATTAAATATGAATTCATAATGAGATGGTATACTTAACCTTCAGTATTAGTCCCTTCCAGCCTTGCCAGTCATCTCTTACTGCGGAACCACGTAGCTCGAGAACTGTCAATTCCTCCATGCTGAAATTGGCCGGAACGGAGCTGCAATGGCGCAGTCGAAGGCATCGTAGCTTCGGAAGAGCCTCTTTGAGATCTCCGACCAACCTTCCATAGGCAACTTCAAGGTATCTTAGCCCTGGCAGCTTCTTCATCAATGGTACGACGCCGTCCTGGCCTTCGATCATATTCCTCATGTCAATTCTTAAAGCTTCTACTCGATAATAATTACGCCTGGCCTGCATGTTAAATGAAATTAAAATTGTACTTAGCAATGTAGCATTCATTCTTCAACGGAATGTAATCCCTTTGACCAAGTTGTAGATATAAAGTGAAAATTATACCTTACCACCACTTCTTAAAATCTCCAAAGCATCTTCGTTGGACCAAATTCTGCTACGCTTGAAAGGTTGTTGTGGGTAATCTTCATGAACAATGTGTTCCCCTAGTCGTCTAAAGTGATCGTGCATCCAAAATTGATTCCTTTCGTTGATTTTAATCAAGGACTTCATTATCAGAGAATCGATCCCACCTTCTGGATGATAACCGGAGCCGTCCCACATGTAGAAAGGTATTTCCTTATCCTCCCCGACGAAGAAGCACGCAATGTCAAGAAATATTTGCTTTTCATAGTACGTCAGTTCGTTGTAGCTGATCCTCAATCTCTCTTGCACCTTGGTAGGATGTATGCTCCTTAATTCCGCCAGCTTCGCATCCCAAAATTTCATGTCTCTACGAAACAAAAGTGATCCTATGACCTTAAGAGCTATAGGTAATCTTGATGCGGCTTCAACGAACTTCTCGGACGCATCAAGGAACTCCGCTGGAGGATGATCCGCCCCAAAAGCATGCTTGCTGAAAAGCATAAGGGAGTACTCGTGACTCATTTCTTCTGGTTCGTACAACTTATGATCAAACTTGATCAAAACCCTCTTGTCCGTCGTAGTGATAATAAATCTACTTTCTGTAGAAAAGTAGTCTAATCTACCGAAAACTCGATCGAAGTCGAATCTTTCATCCACGTCATCAAGAACAATAAGAACTTTGTGTCGACAAACTCTGTCTCTTATGATGTTGATTCCTTCACCGACGTTTCTAACTTGAAAATCTACCTTCAGAATACTAGAAATAATATTAGTTTGTAGAGCAACATCACCACCATTCTCCGATGATAACATTCTTCGTACATCCTCCATAAAGCATGATTGATCAAATTGTGCACAAACTTCATTGTAGACGGCCTTAGCTATAGTTGTTTTACCAGTACCACTCATACCATGAATACCCATAATTTTCTGACTAGTAGAATCATCAGGATTCAACAGTTTCTTCATTTTTTCTACGTGGGAATTAATTCCAACCAACTCATCTGTGGCCAACTTGTAACTGTTCCTTAGATGGTATTCAATTTGTACGAAAACCTCATTTATCACAGTCCCCTGTCTGAAAAATTCAAAATTTATATCAATCAGATTGAACTTAATTGATTCCATAGCAAAATGACATATGTGATTGACTTATCATTATGATACGCAATAATGCAATATCATGACCCGAATGAAAAACTTTTTTATTAAAAGAATAATTGAATAACAATTTGATGATTACATTAATCACGGAATGATGAAGTAGTAGTTCTTTTTTTGGGTGAATAATGATGGAGTAATAAGAGGGATTAATTATTTTTAGACTTGTTATTTTGTATCATTCATTTTTATGAAAAAAACATCAATCAAAATACTACACTTCTCCAAATTATATTCTTCTATGGTTTGGCTATTAAATTGTTTAGTTGCCACGTCAGAGTCAACTAACACTCAACCGGACGGAAAGTTAACGGTTTGGCTATTAAATTGTTTTCGTAAACGTTTGACTATTATTTTATTTGAAACAAAATGTTTAGCTATTATATTGTACTAGCGTGGGCCCCGGCCATTTGGCCGGAGGAATGTGAGGTATGAAATTTGATGATGTAATGTGGTGTATAGCTTATTGTTGTATAGTTTTTTTTGGAAACACGTGATAAAAATTGTGAATTTTAGTAGGAAAGAGACATGAATGATGCAACGAATCAAAAATCAGCCTTATGAACCAAAATCAAGTACCTGTTACCTTGTGAAACAATATTGTTTCTGGTAATATGATGAGGTGGAGTAAGTTTTATAGAAACCGAATTCCAAAAAATTGAATAAAAAATCGCCTATCCAGCCGGTTTTCGGGAAATGAGCATCTCACAATCGTTGCTAGCTTTTACTCGGCCCGTAGGCCGATTAATTTGCTTTGTAAAACTTTCATCTTGTCATCATTGTGCTTTCTGTTTTTTTGCCAAGCCATGATAAAATCTAAAGAAATCAAGAATGAACAACACGATTTGGGATAGGAACCACCGTTCCTGTATCCCTAGAAAATGGTGGTAAACACGGACTCACCTGCCAAACTGGTTTGGATTGAGATTTTTTATCGGGTATCAGGGAACCATGTGATTATAAATTAGACTTGATCAAAACGGGCCAAAACTTGAAATTCAGCATGTTTGACCGACCCATGCCAAACTCTAATTATTCTTTACTTTTAAACTTTCTATTTGAAAATAAAAAATAATGAAAGAAAAGAGATGACAGCAATTCACCATTTGCACATCACTAATTCGGGAATAAAACTATAGAATTTCGAAAGGAAACTGAAAATGTTTAAGATCGTTTTAATGTTAAAAATAACCAAATAGATCTTTTTTGTTTAGTTTTTTACTAACAAATACCAAACGATTCCCTATAATATACACTATAATTTAATCATTATGATATCAAATAATTACATAATATATATTTGAAATGATAAAAATTGGACTAATTGGGTTGGTCGAGGTTGAACCATTGAATAAATTTAAAATATATTATATTTTAGCTACTAAGATATAAAATAATAGCATAATATATATTATGCTAGAGAAAATAGTTTGTTTTAGAATGGCAAACCCATGATGTTCATTTGTTTTACTTGATGGGCAAATCCCGAGTAGGTCAGGTCTATTCAACTCTTTTATTTTATGATTAGTAGTTAGCCCATTAGAATCCATCCATTAGTTTATTGTTAATTTTTTTCTTTTAAGCAATAAAAAGGAGTATTGTTTTTGCCTTTTCATATATATTTTACCACCACGGAGAAATAAAAGGACTTAAAGAAAAAAATTGACACTCCTGAACCCGTTTAAATCCGCATGTGTACGGTAAGTTGGCCCGTTCCACAGAGGAAAAAGAAAAAAAATTGACACTCCCTATTCTACCCTTCCTACAAACGCACCTGGAGCAGGGAATTTGAAATGGGGGAAGGGTTTTTTCCTCTCTGCAATTATATGTTTTTAATGTAAAAAGATACAAAAAATGTACTTAGTGTGATTGGTTATGATATTTGTTTTTCTTTAAAGTGATCATGGTTCGAATCCTAGTAAGTGTCTTTTTAATGAATAAAAAAAAGTAATTGTGAAGACCAAAATGTCCTCCCTACTTTCACTCTGGATGCAGGAAATTTGAAATGGAGCTTGAAGTTTTCTCATTTGACTTTTATTTATTGTGTAGATTTACCCAAAAATATATGGTGCATTTTACACTAACAATGTATGTAACTACAAAAAAAAAATTATCCATGTATGATTTGGCATTTATTATTATTATTTTTTTTTTTTTACAAAAGATAATCATATATTGATCAAAGAATAGACAAAGTTACATCCTGGAGACCAGCCAGGTCTGGAAATTAAAAGAGCGACACATAGACGGGTACAAAGAAAGGGCCTTTCTAGCCACAACATGGGCTACCCTATTGTTCCTCCGTCCAACGAACCGCAAACTAAACCCCGGCTGATTTCCCATACACTGCAAGATTTCTTCCAAAAGCATCCCTATCCTGCTATCCCGAGCATTCGCTTGATTGATCTTATCCACGATGATCTTGGAATCTCCTTCAAAGCAAACTTCCTGGACTCCATTGGCCACACACCAGAAGAGGGCATCCCGCAGGACCAACGCCTCCGTCACTAAAGGATCATCAATAACCTGATAATGGACCCCTTGCGCCCAGAGGACCCGCCTATGACGGTCAAGGAGCACCATCCCGCCCGCAGAGTGAGACCCGGCTCGAGTAGCCCCATCCCACATACACACCAGCGAAGTACCCCCCCACACCCCTGGTTGGTGGACAATAGGACTTTGGCTCATCTCTGTCTTATCAGATTTAGTTCTGTCCCATTCCTCGCACTGCTGATGGAATTGCCGCATCAGGGCCGGAAACCCAAACTGCTTCCCCTCAAATACCACCCAATTACGGGACTTCCAAATCCTCCAAAGAACTGCTACCACAGCCATGACCATGCGCGGTTGATGGATTAAGGCAAATAGCTGTTTGAGAAACAAAGGAAAAGTATGGCGAGGCACTGCTTGGCCCAGATGTTCAAGCCCTGAATAATCCCATAAAGCCCGAGCCACCGGACACTCCAAGAAAAGATGTTCCAAAGTTTCCGAGGCCTCCCAGCAAACCGGGCAACGAGGTAGGACAGGACCACTTCTATCAATAAGCCCCTCTGTGGTAGGAAGGATGCGATGAAAAATTTGCCAAACAAAGACTTTTAATTTCGGGGGAATATCAGCATCCCACAGCCTAATCCAACTGGTTCTATCCATCCAACTAACCGTATCCCTTCAACCACCGTTCCTTCGTGCTAGATCCACGACCAAATGATACGCAGATTTGACAGAGAACACACCATCAGGCGTGCCATGCCAGATCCGTTTATCCACCATATTTTGCCGCGGAAGAGGAATAGATTGAATCATTCGGCAGGTGGGAGGGTCAAACCATTGACTGAGCTTATTGGCACACCACCCCCCATTCCCGTCCTGGGCCATAACATCCGCCACCACCGGGTCACCTCCGGCAGGCAACACCTGAGGATTAAATGCTGGTTTCTCTGGATGTATCTGCGGAATCCAATTTGAGAATAGCAACGATGCAGACTCCCCATTACCAATCTGCCAACGCAGGCCCTGTTCAAGCAACTGCCGCCCAAAAAGAATGCTTTGCCAACCCCAAGAAGACCGCGAACGTGCCTGAGCTTGGAAAAAATTTCCCATCGGGAAGTATTTACCTTTATAAACTTGGGCTAGTAAGGAATTTGGGTCCTGAAGGATTCGCCACCCAATTTTTGCTAGCAGGGCCTGGTTAAAATGCTCGAAACGGCGGAACCCCATGCCCCCGTCATGCTTACTTTTGCACATATTCCGCCAGGATATCCAGTGAATCTTGGATTGACCCTCAGTCACGCCCCACCAGAATCTGGCTACATGCTTATCGAGCAGCCTACAAAGAGACAAAGGCAACCTGAAGCAAGACATCACATGCAACGGCAAAGCTAGAGCTATGGACTTAATCAGCGTTTCTTTCGCAGCCCAGGACAAAGCGCGTTGCTTCCACCCTTGTAATTTCTCCAGAAGCTTCTCTTCCAAGTAGCGGAAGGTATCCATCTTCGATCGAGCTATCAGGGTCGGGAGACCCAAATAATTGTCATGCACCCCTACCGCACCCACCCCCAAAATTGCCGCCAGGAACTCCTGATCAGCAGGAATTATATTATTACTGAAACAGACTGCTGACTTGTCCAAATTCACTCGTTGACCACTGAGTTCCTCATACTCATTTAGTACTTCAATCAGATTTTCACATTCCTGGAGATTACCTCTTAGGAATAAGTAAGAATCATCAGCGAAAAATAAATGAGAGATACGAGGAGCTCTAGGTGCCACTTTCACACCTCCCAATCTCTTATCAGTAATTGCCTGACGAAGAAGCGCAGCAAACCCTTCAGTACAAAGCACAAAAAGCAGGGGAGATAGAGGATCCCCTTGCCGCAGGCCACGGGTGGGCCTGAAATACCCAGAAGGGGTCCCATTCATTAAGACCGAGAAGGATGTCGAACAGAGACATTCATGGATCCATCCTATCCAGACAGAATTGAAGCCCATTTTCTCAAGGACAGCTAGTAAGAAGGGCCACTCAACTCTATCATAGGCCTTTTCCTTGTCAACCTTCAGAGCCATGTACCCTTTCTTACCCTGCTTCTTGATTTTCAAATAATGAATCAATTCGTGGCCAATCAGGATGTTTTCAATAATTTGCCTTTCACGAATGAAAGCATTTTGACCTTCAGAAACAATCCCTGGTAGAATAATAGCTAGCCGTGCAGTCATGATCTTAGTAACTATTTTATAAACAAACTGGCACAGGCTAATCGGTCGCAATTGTCGCATGTTCTCCACATTATCCACCTTCGGAATCAATGTTAGCCAAGTGTGATTGAAGCTGCGAAGCATCCTACTCGTGGCGAAGAACGAACATACAGCTTCAATCACTGAGTTACCAACAATATCCCAATAGGCTTTGAAAAACTTCCCCGTAAAGCCATCAGAGCCAGGAGCCTGCTTAGACCCCATGGCAAACACTGTGTTACGGACCTCAAGAGGCAGTACCTCCGCCGTTAACATCTCATTCATCTCTTGGGTGACACTTTGGGCAATGGGGAGGCCCGCCACCCGCTCAACCATATTTATCACTTGATTTTCCGAAGTGAACAGCTTTTGATAGAACTGGCCGGCGGTATCTGCCTTCCCCTTTTCGTCAGCAATCCAATCCCCATCCTCATTATACAACCCGGCCACAAAATTTCTTTTCTGTCTCGTACGGGTGACTGTATGGAAATAAGAGGTGTTTTTGTCACCCTTCTTGAGCCAATGAACCCTCGATTTCTGCTGCCAATACACCTCTTCAGCTTTCCATTGGCGGGTCAGTTCCATTTCAAGGTTTTTTACCTCCTCCCAATTAATGGGGTGATTGGATTTGATGTGCTCGATCTCTACTTGGAGTGTTTTGATATTCCGAAGTGAGTTGGTAGTACCAGCCCTACTCCAATCATAGAGAAGATGCCTCAGCTTCTTAAGTTTTTCCTAGAGTTGATACATGGGTGTTCCAGTAATTTGCTCCTGCCACACATAACTGACCATTGCCCTGACTTCCGGGTTGTCAGCCCACCGGGCATCAAACCGAAACAGAGGCCGACATTGTCGAACAAAAGGTTTATCAGCCAAGAGCAGCGCCCGGTGATCCGAGCCAAGGTCGGTGCAGTGTTTAACAAGGGTATCAGGGAAACGATCTATCCACGAATGGGAACAGAGAGCCCTATCCAGACGTTACCTGATACAAGCATTACCAAGGCGTTTATTTGTCCAGGTGAACGTATCCCCTTGGTAACCGGGGTCATGGAGCCCAAGATCTGTGATAAAGTCGCGGAGACTATTTGATTGGGCACTGTTCCAAGCATTACCTCCATCCTTTTCATGAGCGTGCAAGGTGGTGTTGAAATCACCAATAACCACAAAAGGGAGGTGGACTGAAGTGCAGACATTGCGAAGATGATTCAGCTGATTAGCTCTAAGAGCTGAGTGACAGCTAATGTAAACACAAAAAACAACACAAGAAAAATCCATATCATTAACTTCAACTCCAATACAAAAATCCGACTGAAAGAACACCGAAACATTAACTTCGGGGGACCAAGCAACAACGAGACCCCCTGATGCATCAATGGCATCTACAAAAAAAGACAACGAAGACTCGAAACCTAAACCCCGCAAACGGCGGGCAACAACCTTCCGACGCGCTCTTGTCTCTGAGAAGAACACAAGGTCCGGCTTATTCGATTGGACTAAACCAAGAGCCGAGCGGAATGTGAGGGTCGGCCCAATACCCCTCACATTCCAGGCCAAGATCCTCATCTATCTGGCTGGGACCAATTAAGGCTGGTTTCCTCCACCATAGCAGTCTCCTATTTTTCTTCCACGAATTGCCGTTTTGGAGTAGGGTTTTCACAATCTTCCCCATCCATAGTTTGGAAAGCTCTTTTTCTTTCATTGTTAATGGCCACATAATTCGACCCATATTCATCCAATACTCCCATTCCCCCTTTAAGCTCGGATCATTGTTCCCTCCAAGGTCATCATCGAGAAGAATGGGGGCGGCCTTTGAAGCTTGAGGGGAGAGGGGGGTTTCAAAATTTAAACCAGCCTCAAAGGCTTGAACCACCTGCTGCACATGACCAGGGTTAGGCCCCGACCTCCTGCTTTTGAATTCAAAACACTGGTTCTGACCCTCCGGGCTGGATTCCGGCGTCGCCTTCATCGGTGGCGGTGCAAAGGCCGACGCCACCTGGATCGGAACCTCCACCCAAGAACCTTCATCAATAGTCACTTTATTGTGCTTCTTCTTAGGTGTAGGATTTGCCGTAGACTCCACCATATTCCCTTTCTGCTTTGTCGGACCAGCCTCAACAGAGAGAGGTCGGCGGCCAGAAGCTCTCACCAGCCGCCGAGGGGTCACCTTGCTGGCCTGGTCCGCCTCCCCAGCCCCCAGCTTACTCGGAGCAGCTGCCCCTCGTTCTTCATTAAGCACCGGCCGGGCCACCAGGTGATCCGACCCCGCCAGGGAAGCAAAAAGAGGACCTTCCTCGTCCTCCGATTCGTCCTCCAATAGCAATCTCTTTCGTCGGGTCTGGCCTTCCTCCACCTCCTCCGCACTACCCACCGAGATTGGTGAAGTAATCGCCGCCTGCCTGGCAAGTTTAGGCCCGCCTCGTCCATTGGGCCCAGCCGCATGGCGATCATCCTCCCTCGGTAGCAGGCCCATTTTTTTGCTGTGTTTGGACCCCCCTGGGCTCGGCCCTGTTTCCCTTTCCCTCTATCTCGCCGCTGGACGGTACCCGCCACTTTCAATTTGGGCGAACTCGGGATTGGAAACCCTCTCGGACTCCGCCGCAGAACCCCCTGAGATTTGCGCGGCATAGGGGCAGAGCCCTCCCCACAGTCTCCATCTTGCAGCCCGTTCCTTCGATCTTTGTCGGCGGTCCCCTCCTCCGAGAAGACCTGCCTTCCAGCATCCCCCTCTCGTTCCTGTTTGGGAATAAATTGGGCGCCCCTCGCATTGGCGTTAGCCAGCTTGGGGTGATTATGCGCCCCTCCGTTATTGTTAACACAAACTGTTTTCGATTTTCCTTGGAACGGTATGGTGATGTCATCCGCATCGTAGATACGAGTGCCCAGTTTCTTGGTCATCATGTGAGGCCCATATCGTTCTTTGCGATTCGGGGGATCGAACGAACATTCTCTCTGGAAATGCCCCACCCTTCCGCAATGAAAGCAGAACGAGGGGAGGTGTTCGTATTTAAACCGTACCCAAAATTCTCCCGTCTCCTCACTCGCGGCCATTACCTGCGAGCGCAATGACCTGGAGAAATCAAGCATCACTTTCACTTTGATAAAACTTTTCCCTGACTCTTGGCAGGAATAGACTCCAGCCTCCAGTACTTGCCCTAACGTCGGGCCAGCAACCTTCATTCCAAATTTCGCAGTGCAGCAGTCCTCCTTCACGTCCCAAAGCTGCACCCTAAAGGGAGCAATGGCCAGCTCTTCAAACGTTTTTCGTGATATCGAGGGGGACCATGGCCGAAGGTTGATGATCCGATCATTCACCACCCATGGGGTTCGTCTGAGAACCCAAATTTTGGCTTCTTCATTCGGAAGAACGAACTCAAAAAGCCCATGTTTGGCCGGTAGCACCTTGATCCTACCCTTGCATTGCCACAGGGAATTGACCGATTCTCGAAGCTCGAGCGTCGTGACCCACGTCGTGGTGAACACTCGCCCAAGCAGAGTATAGGAACTCCGGGCCTTGACGGATTGGACTTCCTCAAGATCAAATTGGATCACCTGGTCGTTGCTAACCTGAGCCGCCATCTTGATCTGCACAGGGGAAATAAGACCCATTTCATCAAGATCAGTCTCATGTGCTATCGCATCAAGGCTCTGCGTAGCTCGAAGAACAGGGGAAGAGGTGGTGAGGTTCGTTTCCATCTCCCACCTTGAAGAATCAGTATGGGAAAGAAAATTGCCTGGGGGAAGAAAGACGTCTGAGTCTTTGGGTTGATCACCAACGCCCACCCTGCTCTCTATCGTGATGCCGCACTTGTTCCTTCGCAGAAAAACGAAAGGGCAGCCGGTAGATATAGACCAGCAGGGGGAAGCCGTTGAGAAGTATTTCCCAAGTAGGATTCTTCCCTCCAGGTTTTGTTTCGTAGAGTTAATTCGGGTGATAGGATAGAGGATTCTCAGATCCCGATCCCCACAACTACCCGCAGATTTCAACTTATCCGATTTTCCCAACAGAAAAAAAACTAAATTGGTTGGCTCTGCGAGTTTTCCGGGCGGGTCTCTTCCCCGCCCAAACCACAAAATCCGGGACTTCGAATCCCACTAGGGCCGAGCTAACGGGCCGTCGGATTGTTTCTCGCCGGAGCAATTCGCACCGCCGCGAGTCTGGCCGCCGTACCAGATTTGCCAAACTGTCCGGTTCATCTTGTTGATGGGAGCAGGGGGCAGGTATCACCCATGGCCTGGTCCCCAAATCCTTGCAAATTTCAGGGAGATCACCACACCGAGGAGGCGCGATGAATCCCGGAGGAACTCCCCCCGTCCCACTACCAATGTTTTGGTGGGTTTCAAACCTTTGGCGGCGCGAGGGGGTGTTTTCAACCATATCCTCCATCTCGGCCGACGACGGTAGCCTGAAGCACCATACTTTCACAGGCACCTTCCTTCTTTTTGCCTTTGTCACGGAGCAGTTTATATCACACTCCAAATCAGCATACACGTCTTTACGTTTCTTCCCATTTCGCAGGGATCGACTTTTAACTTGTCGCTCCGACGAGCAGTTCTCCTTCTCCGGTTTACCTTGGTCAGGGCGAGACACCGATTGATTGGTTTTCCTTGCCTCAGGGTAGTTCCCTCCATATGATTTCCACCCCTGGACTTGGTTCCGAAGGCTTGCAGTAAGAGCTTTTTGAATAACGCCGATGAGCAAGTGGCTGAGGAAACTTCCCAGCCAGAGGAGAGAGGCGAGAGCGTCCCTCCACAATTTTTTTTTTTTTTTTTTTTACGTCTACTCTATCACCGTGCCAAACGGCTTTACAAGAAAACTATGAGTTATAAGTTAATTTCATATCACTCCACAAGAAATAAGGAAAAAACAAAATTGAAGTAGAAAAGATGGCATGCGTACCCAACAAGTTCTGTCACGTGCCAACCCTTCATTTCCCCAACTTCTTTGAGAGCTTCTTTCCATTCCCCAATGGTCGCAGCGTCAAATTTCTCACCGTACAATTTAAACGCCGATTTGAAACCGTCACTTTCCTGTTTCTTCACTTCACTGGGAGCAACAAAGTAGAAGATCGGAAGGATGACGTGTCCCTTCCCTTGCTTCCAACACTCCACCATCTTAGCAAGCTCTTGGAGGCACCATCTGCTGTCAACGTATGTTGGGGAGATGATGGGGACGTAAATCTTTGTTTCCACGATAGCCCGGACGAGAGAAGGTTCCATTTTTTCGCCCTTCCGCAAATCTTCCTCGTCTCTGAAAGTGCGGATTTTGGAACGAATCAGACCTCTGTAGACCCAATCGGCAAAGGAATCGCGAATGTCTGGACCTCTGAAACTTAAGAACACCTCGTACTCTCCAACTGGAAGAGACTGCTGCTTGGGATCGGAAGGAGAAGGAGAAGACGGCTCCTTCAAGGAGGCGGATGCTTGCCCACCAGCTTCCTTCATACTTTGCGGAACAAGAGGTTTTGGATATCGGATGTGAAGTTTGGCTTAAAACTTAGGCATATATTGGATGGCGCGGCAGTCTATATTCTAACCATTTTGTTGACTGCGTTGATGGATGAGCTGCTCCTACTTTTCGTCAAAAAAATAAATAAATAACGCCAAGTTTCATTTTTGATTCCTTGGAGAAATACTTTATAATTTTTTTCAGATAATGGGGAAAATGTTCCTAATTAACCATGTTGAGTGGGCATCCACGTCACAAGGTAAGATAGGTTGAGGTCATGAGGTGTATATTACTTGTTACTTGTTAGATTCAAATATTCCTAATTAAACTTTTTTATTTTTGCTCATTTAAAATAATTCATTAAATTATCATATGGTTATTTATTATCAAATAAACTACATGCAACCTTACAAGTTGTAATAGAAGTTAAGACAAAAATGGGTTTGTTTAGAGTTTTTACTTTTTAGTACAAAATTGGGTTTCTATTTTCTAATGTGGACTCATGTGAAACAAAGGTAGTCTTATATAAGTTGCTTTCGGCGTGATGATGCAAATTGTGGTTGTTGAAACTTTCTTTTATATATGACGATGCTTTATATCGATCTTCATTATTTTATGGGAGAATGCTAAATGATTTTTCGGGTGCCAGAAATTATTTTATTACAACTTTAATCGATTATTTTCTAGAATTGTGCGAGTAATATTAATACTTCATGTAGAAGAGACGATTCAATGAAAAAAGTAGCGGAAACAATTCAGCTATGGTTGGAACTTGGAAGTTAGGATGAAATTCATATCTGGTCTATATTTTTTTTTTTTTTTCCTTCCTTCTTCTTCTATCCAGGGCAAGTCCAGAAGGTGTAGTTTATAGACTAAAATACAAGATCGACATCAACCAAACCCGGCAATTCGTGTGCAACAATACTATCAATGAAAGAGGCTATTTTGCTACTACATGAAAATTCCATTGAAATTTCAAGGAGCGGAAAGACACGACACTAATTCAAAAGATAAGAAAAAAGTAAAGATTTTCTCAAGTATCGTCCCGAGATTTGATAGAGTGAGAAATCGTTCTGAATGCATCCACGGTCCAAATGCGAAAACCAATAAACTAACTCTTGTAAAGCCATACAAACAAATTGGCTCCTACAAGGAACTACAAAACCCTATCACAAGAGAGAGAATCGACTCCTTAAACTATAATTGAAATTATCGAACACAACATCTAGAATATATTTGTAAAGTAAATTCCGAAAGGTAAAAATTGTAATAATAGTAAAACATGTCACTACTAAGTGTGTCATTCAATTTGATGAATGAAAAGTGAAAACTCCCAAATCACAACATTAATATTTTTTATGTATAGCGAATCAAATCCACCAAAATATAAGTTTTTTTACATTAACCTTAACATAATTCAACGGGTGGTTAGGTAGTCAATCCATTCAAACCTCATGATGATTTCAATTAGTACAAATATGTTATACGATGAAGAAATTGACTTAGTCAAACAAGGCAAACCAATCATCTTTTTCTAGGTAGATAAAATGACTATGTATAAGATGATCTCATCCTTAGTGTCAATCTTATACATAGTAAAAAAAAAATGACTATGTATAAGATTGACACTAAGGATGAGATCATCGTGGTTATGTTCCAATATTTGATTCCACAATCTCAATCACACAGAAGAAGTAGCTATAGATCGATGAAATTGATTGATTGATTGGTTAATTATGATACTAATTACCAACTACTAAGTATGTCGACCTTAAAAACAATTACATTATTTTAAGATAAAATTATTTTTTTAATTTTCATTGCTCATTGGTCGATTTATTCTCGACAACTCGCTACAAAACAATGCTAATATTCTAGTATAAGATAATTAGTGTAATAAGTTAATGAAGGAGAAGAAAACATAATATATGCATGCTTAGTAACGAGTGATGAACCCCACCCACTTGCTTTCTCGTGAAAGCAGAGAAACAGAGTTGACCTCACTTTTACGAGGCAATTTCGTCTGCTTCGAGATACGCTAGAATCATTTGATTAAATAATCTTAATCCTCATTAGTAGTTGGACTAATCACGATCAACCAATGAGAAGGCTAATCAGAAAATAATATTAAAATTAAACCCCCAACGGAGACACGCTATATTCAACACGCTACTCTGACCTTTGAGATCGATCATGAGAAAGCTAAGATTTCCCAATGACTTTATCTAGCGGCCAGAGATCATCAAGTTCAGTCTGGCTTTGGATCCTGAGACGATATTGTTCATCATTTTTAATTACATGGGAGACGTCGCCGTCGCCGTCGCCGTCGTCGTCCCCACGGCCGTCGTCCTCATAATCATCACGATCATCACCACCCTCACGGCGGCGGCGGCACCGCTGTCCTTCAACTTCACGGACCAAATCTGCAGCGACGCCGCGGTGAAGCTCTACGGGTACGCTTCGTGCGCCGGGCCCGCCGTCCAGCTCACCCCGTTCGAGTACTGGGCCACGGGCCAGGCCCGGCACCCGAGGCCCATGCACCTGTGGGACAGATCCACGGGCCAGCTCGCCAACTTCACCACCGACTTCACCTTCGCCATCGACAACAACAACGGCAGCTGGAAATGCGACGGCCTCGCCTTCTTCCTCGCCCCGCACGATTACGTCACCCCGGCCCACGCCGACTCGGGCCGGCTCGGTCTGGTCCACGGGAACTTCACGTACAACTCCACGGCGGCGGGGCCGAGCGGGGCGTTCTTGGCCGTGGAGTTCGACACCTACAACGACGCGTGGGACACGTGGCACGACGGCCTCAGCCACGTGGGGATCGACGTGGACTCGATGCAGTCGGTGGCGAGCAAGCGGTGGCGGAGCCACGTGGACGGGAGGACCACGACGTGGGTCCGGGTGTCCTACGAGGCAAAGAAGAAGAAGCTGTGCGTGGTGTACAATACGACCACCGTGGAGGAGGAGACCCTCTGCTACGGAGTTGACCTGAGGGATTACTTGCCGGAATGGGTGGTCCTCGGATTCTCTGCCTCCACGGCGTTCAGGTATCGAGTGGCAAAAGGGAGGTGGAGCGTTGAAAAAATTTAAAAAAAAAAAGTTATTTATGTGAGGTTAAGAATTTAGAACTTTATTTTTACAAACGTTATTTACTCTCATAATAAATCAATAATAGGTATATGCAAATAAATAACATGATTTATCAATCAAAAATTAAAATCACATTTTCAATTCGTTATTTTAAAAGTTTCTCGTTCCATCAAATATATAGGGGAAAAAATCTTCCTCCTATAACTAGAAAAACTTTTCAACTATTCAACGGAAGAAAAAAAAAACTTTCAAATCTAAATATTTGTTCTTTTAAAATTGAATAATTCGACTATCAAATGTATATTTTAGCTAATTAACAGAAAGTCCAGTTTTAGCTATACTTTATCGAAAAAATAAATTATATGCCTGAATAATAGATAATTTCATGATTGACAATTCGATTGAATATATTAAGTTGCATGTACTTTATACATTTGAATACAAAAATTCATTCTTAAACGGGATCTCACTAAATTTCAATCCTGACTACATCACTGCAGGTATCAGTCTCACACCATCAAGTCCTGGTCCTTCTCCTCCGATCTGGACGGCAATTACCAAGACTATATCACGAGCACGACCACTACGACGGCCAGGATCATGAGATTGATCTTCCTCGTGGGGATTGTTCTAATAGGTAGTGTTGCTGCTCTTGCATGGTGGATGGTACCCGCTCGGGTTTTCTCCCGTCGAATTTATGTTTTTGCAGTGAAAAAGAAAGAGAGAGAAGAAGAAAACGGCTGGAAGGAGGAGGATGAGGAGTTCTCTGGAATCCCTCTGCTGAGACGACGTCTTGACAGAAGCAAACATTCGATCGACGAGGGAGCGAAGTCCGTCCCACTAGCGGAACTGAAGCGAGCGACCAAAAATTTCAGCGAGTTGATCGGGAGAGGCGGGTTCGGAATGGTGTACAAGGGACAGCTGGCGAGCGGCCAGCTGATAGCAGCGAAGAAAGTCCCTCTGGACGGCGCGGCGATAGAAGGTTTCATGGCGGAGCTGGTGATCATCACGCAGTTGAGGCACAAGAACCTGGTGAGGCTGTTGGGCTGGTCAAACAATCTGGAGGAGTCGTGCTACTACCTCATCTACGAGTACATGGAGAATCGGAGCTTGGACCTCCACTTGTACGGCGACGGCAACGGCCAGTTTACTATGGGCTCGGTGAAGCTGGACTGGGAGAAACGGTATCGCATCGTGAAGGGACTCGCTAATGCACTGAGCTATCTGCAAGCAGGAGGCGACGGGAAGAGCGTGCTCCACGGGGATGTGAAGAGCAGCAATGTGCTTCTGGACTCCGAGTTCAACACCAAGTTGGGTGATTTCGGGCTGGCTCGAGTGGTGGACCAGGACATGCGGTCCCACGCGGAACATGGCGGGACGCCCGCATACATGGCGCCTGAGCGTGCGGACCAGCGACGGGCAGCTCTGGAGTCGGACACGTACAGCTTCGGGGTGGTGGCGCTGGAGGTGGCGAGCGGGAGGAGGGCGGTGGTGCTGAAGGAGCACATCGTGAGGTGGGTTTGGGAGATCTACGGGAGGGGGAACGTGTTCGAGGCGGTGGATCCCAGATTGGAAGGGGAGTTTGATAGGGATGAGATGCAGCGGTTGTTGATGGTGGGGCTCCATTGCGCTCACCCGAACAGAACTCGCAGGCTCTCGATTCAAGATGCGTTGCGGGTGTTGAGTGATACGAAGCTTCCGTTGCGGAATTTTAATCTCCCATTGCAGTATCCACCAACTAGAGATGATCCCCCTGTACCACTTCTAGTGTCACCAATACTTGAGGACGACTCCCTATAGTAAGACCACCCAGAGTGGTGGGGGAAATGATCAAATTATTTAAGTAAAGTGACAAAATTAACACTAAATTGATTTCATAAAAAAACACTCCTCCCACTTTTCCATCTTTTCCATCACAACTATGGCTGCAAATGAGTCAAGCCGCTCGCGAGCAACTCGGTGTTCGAATAGGAAAAATCTTGTTCGACACTTGGCTCGTTATTTAACTAGCCGGCTCGCGAGCTGAATCGTTAATAAACGAGCCAAGTTTGAGCTAGACCATGCTCAACTTGATTAGCGCGTGAGCTAGTTTGACTCGGTGGCTTGTTGAGCTAAGCTCGCGAGCTGGCTTGTCTAGAGGTTGTGAAAGGATTAATTACTCTTCTGAACATGAACATTATCTTGTTAATACGGATGTGTATGGAAGTTAGCTACTATTTTTAGTTTCTAGTGTTATTTTATCATTTAAATTCTTATGTGTACACATTTTTCAACAAGAATGATTTCAAATTGAGCTCATGCCGAGCTCGTACTCAGCTTGACAAACTGTGTTAAATGTTAATGAACATTACCGAGCTCTACCGAATCGAGCTTGAGTTGGATTATTTTCAATCGAGCCGAGCTCGAACTGGATTATCAAAATTCGATTTCGAGTCGAGCTCGAGTTGAAAAATTTATAAACAAGTCGAGCTCAAGTTAAGTAAAAATTTGACTCGACTCAGCTCTTTTGGAGCCCTACCGAACTCATTGTGAGTTTTCCCACCCCAAATCCAAATAACTCATTTTTTTCCTCTCAGCCATTGTGGGTGGTCTAATCCTTTTGCTTATACAGAATAAAGTATATTTTAGGTCATGTTAATTATTACACTCTAAGTGGTTTAATTTTGTATGCCACAACTCTGATCTTGACCGGTGGAATGGCCAATTCCAAAATCCTTAATGATAGATTGTAGATTTGAGCCACTGTTTTCTCATAAGAAGTTGAATTACAACGGATTTGGAATGGACAAAGTTGTGCACTATGAACGGGAGAGAGCAATTTGTATATTGATTTGACATCAATTTACCCGCAAAAATCTCATACGCACCAATAAGTAAAAAATCCCATTAACTAAGATTTTTTCAATGTGGTGTTATGGGAATTGGAGCCCTTTTGATGGCTACCAAACTTTATAAGATTTAAGTTACAACTTCATTGTGTAAGATCCAATGATGACTTTGACAATCTCTCATGGCTCCCCCTTTAAGCGGCCACAGAATCATATAACAATAAGCCACCAATTTTTTTTTTTTACAAACCAAAGCATAGTTCTTGGATGAAAATGAAAATGGTGACCAAAGATATGTTTTGGCTATAGCAGGTCGGATCATCCGAAGATTCGGTTGAGAGTCGCTGCCAATCGAACTCCTCCTTGTGCCAGCCTCAACTTCACGATTGGTAACCTCGACTCGAAATAATCATCTGCCCCACAAACAAAAACAGCCATGGATGCTTCTTTATCCAGAATCTCTCAACAAAAATCGATTCTGTAAAGGAAGAGAACTAATTTGGACGAAAACTTACCATCCAATGTCGATCCTTCTTCCACACCTTTATACGCCCAGTCACATGCGGCTTTAATCCCTTCCGTCGCATACCTGCCACCACCAAACAACAGTTTCAGAATCTGCTTCATCGTGCACTCTGTTTCAGAATCTGGAGAGTGTGGAGTTTTTATTTTTCTGGAACGTACACAGTTGGGCATGTAGTCTTACTACCGCCGCAGGCCTCCCATGACGGAACAAGATCAGTCCAACCCGACTGTTGAACCAAACCAACCAATCAACAAACTAACCAAGTCAGCTGCAAAATCCAGGGGGTGGGCAGAACAACTGGAATAGAAATTGAATAATATGTCAGGAAAAAAAGTACAGTGATATTCTTTTGAATTGCACCAATCAAGTCCTCCACGTTGGAGTTGTAGAACTGTTCTTCTGCTGTCTCTATTATGTTGTCATCCCACGCCTGCAAAATTAGAATTGATTCAGGCAGCATCATTAGCACAATGATCGAGCTTAGAGCTCAAATCGAAACGTTTCTGCAGGCGATTAGTCACTAGCTAGCTAGGGAACTCACATGGTGGAGAACAGTCTTTCTTGTGTACCAATGAATGTTAATGGTGTTGCCTCCTTTATCTGAAGTGAATCCCACATGAAGCGGCTGCAGAGGAAACAAAAGCCCACAAATTTACCAAACCCGTAATGAAACAAACAGTAAGATCAAGCAGTAAGAAAGTGATTCTTTTTTTTGTTACCTGGTGGATATCTCCCATGAGATGGGAAAGGAAGAGAAGCGCTTCTGTCAGGTTATCTGATGTGATTACAAAACCACCCCACAGAATCATATTACAATGCAGCAGTAAATGAAAGGAATTCAGTAAAAAGGAAGTAATTTTTTTTTTCTTACAGTCAGATTTGGAGGATTGAGCAGAGTTGTAAGTAAGCAGCTGGGTAGTGTAATTCTGGATAGCCCCATCAACACACCTCCCCTTCTCTCCATTCTCATCCTTGCAGTCCCCTGTTTCCCAAAAAAACCCATCCAATTTAATACGATCGATTCGCGCGCGATTGAAACGAAACGGTTCCATTTGGTTCCGGATAATTGCTTACTGTTGTAGCTGTAGTTGCAGAGGTTGTCAGGAGTGTCGATGTAATGAAGAGCAGAAGACCATTTATACCGGAACTTGACCTTGTCCGCCCACGAACACAGACTGGCCAAGTCCTCTGCATCTTCTGGCAACAGCTGCTTCACCGCGGCCGCTGCAGCGTCGCTCAGGCGAGGCTGTCACGCCAAATTAAATACCCAGAAGAGGGAATCAGAGATGCATTGATAGAAAGTAATGAAGAAGGAAAAAAATGATTGAAGCTAAGCAGAATTACCTGAGCGATCCTGCAGACGGCGAAGTGGCCGTCGACTCCCCATCCATGAACTACTGATGCAGGGGAAAACAGCAAAATGACATTGGAGAGTACTACTAGTAACAAGGCAGGAAACCCGTTGCGCTCCATTTTCTTTCTGGCACGGCAAATGTAAACCTGAAAGTGGTGCTCTAAATACTGTGATGGGGAAGCCGGCCACCATTTAATATGGAGATTGCTGTGAAAAGGAAAGAGATTCTGAATTACCGTAACGTAAGAGGGCTGGTGGTGTGGTGTGTGAACTGTCTGACCATTAAAACAGCGGCTTTCTATGCGTTAAAAAGGAAATCAATCATTCTGTCACAAAAATGAAAAAAAGGAATATAGAAGCTTTGGACAGTGGACAGATGGTTAGCTGCTACTATGGCTGCGAGTGAACTGATCATGACCACTCATCGAGAAGTTGCCTGCCTGTGTTCATACTCGGTGTACAGTTAGGTTTGACTACAAAGGCACAGTAACAATTATAAACTCAATAGTATGTGCCTTCCGGTTCAACTGATTATCATATTGGTGTTAATTTCTTGGTTTGGACTAAAGATCGTGTAATTTTGGACAATTAATTTGGGGCAAATGATGGTCACTGAATCAGGTGATTCAATGACAGAATAAATGGAGCAAGTGCTGAAAATCGTGGGATATGGAATGGAATTTCAGATTGGATGTTTATGAGACTCCGGTACGTTTGGTACTTGCGATTCCCATAATTGATAATTCATGTATTTTTTTCCCGAGAAATGTCAAGAACATAGTTAGAAAAAACCACTACCCACAATCACTTCCCATCCCACTAACAAGCCAACCAACAAAGTCAAAAGAAACTAATTCTAACCGGGACAACAACAGGACTTTACGTTCCACTCTATGAGCATCCCAGTTGACAGTCCACGGAACTGCCCTAAATTCTATACAAAGAGAACAAGACTCAAGAAGATAACAACAATCTCGAAGAATGGGGCCACCAATCGAATCCTCCACCAATCGAAGCTTGAGGTGACGGATGACCACTTCTGCATCGCCTTCGATGATGACCGGAGACAAACTTCTAGAAGTTGCAAGAGAGATTGCATCCCTAGCTGCAAGGAGTTCTGCAAGATAAGGATCCGAGATACCATAATGCTGAGCACCCACGGCAAGAAGCACATGCCTATCCGAGCCGCGGACAACCAGGCCAGACGAGGAGCCAACACTTTCGAGAGCAACATCAAAGTTGATCTTACCATAATTCATGTATTGTGTTGAATGCATGTATTATAATTGTTGTACATAATATTTGTAACTAAATTAATTGGATATTCATTTCGTTAAAATAAATTATGTGCAATCTCGTTATCAAATGAATTCATATGTTTGGAATATGTCTGTTAATGAGTCAAGTCAAGCCGAGTTTTGTCATGTCTAGGTTTGACTCATTAATAAACAAGTCGAGTTCGAGTTTGACTCATTTATAAACGAGCTAAGTCGAGTTGAGATTGAGCTGACTCATTTTTTAAAACTTACTTGACTCACCATTAAGATGAGGAGTCCGGTTCAGAATCAACTCTGTAATATTTTTACATTAGACCCTAATATTTTTATATGACATACATATGATTAACTGATCTCATGTCATATGTTAGACAGATTTGCTCACATAATCAAAATCTTAAACATTTGAGATATACAATTTAATAAACCTATAAATTATCAACAAGTCAACTCATATGATATAAATCGATTTTCTCATCAGCCGCTAATCGAGTTGGCTCACTAATCATAATGTTGAGACAGAACTCAACAAGCCACCTATTCACACCAGCACCAAATAACTCTATCCATCAACAAAAAATAGTGGAAATTGTTCTTCTATATGTGCTCCCAAAATTGATTTGATGAAGAAGACATTTGATTCTATTGACTGAAATTTTATACTCACTCAAGATCTCACTCCAAATCAACATTCAACTCCATAGTAAAAGTCAATAAATATGAGTTTTACTTTTACCATTGACCGAGTTTAACCAAATTTTTGGGAGAATACTATTCATAGTGGGCCAGGAGCTAGCTGTGGCCGATTTTATTTGAACCCATGTACACCATCTTTGGATGGCTAAGCAATGACCGTTTGATGAGCATCTTGGACAGGTCAATCATGACCATTGACTCCTTCTTTCCCTTTCTCCTCTAGCGTGTCAAGAACCGGTTGCTCCCAATAACTCGAGTTGTTGGGAGAGGGTTCTGCTGGATCTTATACCATACTCTAACACGCCCCGTCAAACGAAAGCCAATCCATGGGCTTGAAGTTTGCACAGGCCCACCATACCATGTGCTTGAAAGACAACAGTTAATATTGGGGGTCGTGGAGATTCGAACACATGACATTTCGGTTCTAGGCTCTGATACCATGTCAAGAACCAGTTGCTCCCAATAACTCTCTTTTTCCTCTCCTTCACGTTCTCCTTCAGCAATCAATTTTCATTCACCATCTCCGAAGTCTCCATTTATCCCCCGAGACAAAATCGCCGAACGCCGAGAGCCCAGACGGTGGTGACGCCATTTCCCTTTCCTCTCTTTACCGACATGATGAGGACAGGATTTCTGCTTCAGAATCAAGCGGAAAACAGGTACTCACTGGGAGGTGAGTTCTTCCTCTTCATCCACTCTGCCATTCCTATTTCTTCTTCTCTTTTTCCCCAGTATGGAAACGATGACTTATATCACCCAGTTGCGACTTTATATCATTCCCCTGAATTTGATAGGGTTTCAGGAGTTTCGGCGGTGCTCCAGAAGGTTTATAGCGAAGAAGACCAGAATGGAAAATCACGGGAGCTTGGTTTTAGGCTTGACAATTCCTTAGACTCCCGCTCGACTCCCCCATTTTCCTTCTTAATTTGAGAGAGATGGTGGTCTCCATGATAGTCAAGCTTCAGGTTTGTCAATTCCTCATATTCCTCTTGGTGCTCTGTTCCTCTATAATTTGAACTAATTTTTGTAGTTTTAAACAGTTGGATTGGTTTACCACTTGCGGGAACTTCTTCCAATTTTGAGTAGTCTATTGGATGTTGAGCTTATTGTGTGTGGTGGTGGTTCAAGAACAAGCAACACAACAGAGAAGCAAACTGCATTTCCTTGGAGTTGCACATGGATGTGAATCGTAATGGTGATGCTTTACACAGTTCCAGTGATTGGTATTAATCTAATAATCCAAGAGCTTTTCACATGGTGTGTGCATTTGTTGGATAACCCTGAAATTATAACTTATAGCAGTAACTGGACTTAACACAGGTTATATTTTTTGGACTGATGAGTTGAACTAATCCTTTTAAGCTTCTTTGCAGTTTGCTTCTGCCTCCTAATCTAAATCAAGTTGTTAATTGGCTGTGCACTTCCTTTCAGGCTGGACTTACAGTTCCAATTCGCACAATCTTGGTGTTGGCATTCTTCCAAGTGTAAAAATGAAAAGAGGCCACCCTTGCAAGTATTCATTTGCATGTAATCCTACTATGGCACTGCCACAGCTTGTTGATTGATCCATGCTGGTGACATGCTTCATCTACTTCCATAGTTTGTTACTTCATGTTTACATGTGTGAATATGTAGGTCTGTGCATCAAATCTCGCCTTATATCTCAATTGGCCAATGCTTTTCCTCTTACGTCGAATGAAACCTAGACTAGCATATCCATCAGTAAGCCATAAAGACCATAGATATCCTTGCTGCAGCTAAAAGTTATTGTGTTATGCTATAGTTTGCTACTTGAATTTGGTTAATACTGAAATGAGAAAATTGTTGTGGCTGCCCTCGAGCAAAGCATGGAAATCAATACCTATGTTCCACCGTTACCCAGTTTACTTGTGGGGGTTTTGCTCTTCCCATATGCAAAGATAGTATTAGATTATTTGTTAGTCTCATGTCTTATATTTTCTTGCCATTGACATGATTGGCTCTTAGATAGTGAAATAGAACACCAGTAGGAAAAGGAAGGAATATTTTCTGTTGCTTTTGCACCGAGTTATTTGCGCTAGATTTGTTGGTCATCAAATGATCTTTGCTGTTAGAGGATAAGTGTCAATGAACCTAGAAACTTCTGAGCAATTTTGAATTGTACACAATTCAAATGAGTTCTCTGATGTGGAATCTAATTGGCTTGAAAAAGGGTAGTAATTCTGCATGCTTAAACTTGGCATGCAGTTCTTAAAACTTGATTCAAAACAATCAGCCAATGGGGTGATTTATTTCTTTCTTGCTTCTTTTTCTTTATATGCTTCCTTATTGAATCTTCCTATTGCGTCTATTAAGTAATGTAATTTGAAGAAAGTTTTGACCAGGGAGAATTTCTCTTCACTAGCAGCAAGGTGATGATGGATCAGTTGAAATCAGAGTTTTTTTTCTTCATTAGGTGATGATTTCTTTTATGTTGTTTAATCCCAAAGAAGGAGTGCCAGCGTTGTTGCATTCATATGTCTCATACGTTACAGCTCGCAGCCAATTCTGAAGTGGGCACAAAACACTGAAAGAATCTATCGCCAAGGATGTCAAACTCAACCTGCAACCTGATTTCAAGGTAATATTTTCATACATTAAAGATGGTTCTGCCTATGATATAGATCTTAAACTATCCGACAGAATCATCATTGAGATATTTGAAAAGGGGCAATTTTGTTTGTAGTAGGTAGATTTTTTGAAAATAGGAGTAGATGCTAAATTGGTTTCCTTGGACGGGAGAGAATATATAACATGTGATGATTACACTGGATTACAACATGCCACACATTTGTTTGATCAACAATGAAAGTATGCAGGTCCATTCTTTCGTACCATTTGGCATTTATTAGGAAAATGTCTATAGGAACTAATTTCGTGGGAAAAGACATTGAATTAATTCACTAGCTACTTCAGATCTACATTTTTCAGACTCCTCAAATTCTAATCAACTTACTTACGTATTAAATTTGGGTGGCCAAACATTACCCCTTTTCCCCACACATTTCAGTTTGCTAGAAGAAAGTTTTTTGTCTTCCACCCAATAATTGAATAGTCTTTAAACTAATCAAGCCAGCCAAATCCGAACCTAATCAAAGTAGAGGAAATAAGAAAGCTGTTGAGTAACATCATCATCACCATAGCTGGTTCATGGGATCTCTTACTGTCTAATTAATTGGATTATAGGGAAATTAGGTTCCGGGTTGTAAGTCTATATAGGAATTTCGTTACTATTTGTTAACTGTCTTTTTCACTACAATCATGAGTCTCATGTAGGTTTCTGGACTATAGATAGGTCAGACGCTAAACTATCCTATTGATGTACATATAAATTTGTTAAATCTCAATTAATCAATAGCACAGGATAGATCCCACCACGCAACTGAATATTGATAGTCTATTCCTTTCTACTGTGTTTTTCCTCTGGCGGTTGTATGATGGGTTTTATGGAAAGGTTTCAGCTTTCTGTCCATTTTTAGTTCCACCCTTGTTTTAAACTTTCTGGGTTTCTCTTTACCCACAGCATGCATTTGTCTCTCTGCATGTGTTCTTTTGTACTTCGAAGGAGGACGAGGGAGCTTGTATCTATTGTTTATGCTGCTGTGCACTGGTTCTTTCTTTCTGGTAGGAGTGTGTGGTTGTGTAATAAAAGATGGGTGCAACTGCAAAGCTGCAGCAGCAGCAACTGAGCCAGTTCCATAACCATCACTTGCTGCAGGAGTATGAGAAGCAAATAGGCTCGAAGACAGCATCTTTCTCGGTGCAGGCATACAGGAAATGGATCCCCAAGGCAATGGTGGGGTGGGTCATGGTGACTTGCGGCATTGCTTTGTGGCTTTACAGTTACATGGACGATGACGGCAGATTAAGGAGGAAAGAACTACTGCAGAGCATGTGTGACCAAAGGGCCAGAATGTTGCAGGATCAGTTCATTGCTAGCGTTAACCATGTCCATGCCCTTGCCATTCTTATTTCCACTTTCCATTACTTCAAGAACCCTTCTGCCATTGACCAGGTTCTGTCTTTCTTTAATTAGATTGTGTCCTATTATAAACGTCTTCTGCTCCCTCCCTCAAAGACGTTTGCTTGATGTTTCTGTCTATTTTCCCAGCAGGAAACGTTTGCTGAGTACACTGCAAGAACAGCGTTTGAACGGCCATTGCTAACTGGGGTCGCCTATTCAGAAAGGGTGCCCGATTCTGAGAGGGAAGAATTTGAGAGGAAATATGGCTGGACGATCAAGACAATGCAAAGGGAGGCTCCTCCCATTCGGAATGAGTATGCACCAGTAATATTGTCTCAAGAAACCGTCTCTTACCTTCAGTCCATTGACATGATGTCTGGGGAGGTAAAATCAGCTCAGCATTTTTTTTCTTTTCGGTTACTTGTTTTTCATTCGTATTCAATTGTTTTGGTTGGAAGTTCTTAATGCTTGTATGCTTTCACATTATTATGCAGGAGGACAGAGAAAACATAGTGCGAGCTCGGTCTACAGGGAAAGCTGTGTTTACAGGGCCTTTCAGGCTACTTGGCTCCAATCATCTTGGTGTTGTATTGACATTTCCAGTTTACAAGCCCAAGCTTCCTTCATCTTCCACAGTACAACAGAGAATCGAAGCGACTGCAGGGTAAGTGCTAATGCGGGCCTTTGTATCACAGCTACTTTAACAGTTGGGTTAATGTTGTACTAAATATAATGCATAACTGATGAGGAAAGCAGATATCTTGGGGGTTCATTTGATGTGGAGTCCCTAGTGGAGAACTTGCTTGGAAAACTAGCTGGGAATCAAGCGATTTTGGTGAATGTTTATGATGTGACCAACTCATCGGATCCATTGATCATGTATGGTCATGAAGATCAGGAAGGTGACACGTCACTTGTACTCGAGAGTAAACTTGATTTTCAGGATCCATTTAGAAAGCATAAGATGGTTTGCAGGTCAGTTGCATCAATAAGATCATTGAAGCTTTGATAAACAAATATTATTTTTGGAATCTCTGGAATTTCAGATTTATGTGAACTCTTCTGCAAACGTATTTTTGCAGATACCACGATAATGCATCATGGAATTGGTCAGCAATCATCACGACGGGATTGTTCTGGATGGTAGGTATATTAATTGGATACATCTTTTACGGTGCAGGAAACCACATTGTGAAAGTTGAGGATGAGTTCAATGAAATGGAGGAGCTGAAAAGCAGAGCTGAAGCTGCTGATATTGCGAAATCACAGGTAAAGCTCCTGCTCTTGTCCCTCCTGATCAACCATTGTTCACTAATTTTCTCTTATGTCTTGACCCACTTAGACTCTTGAAATATTTACTGGCAGTTTCTGGCTATGGTATCACATGAAATCAGAACGCCGATGAATGGTGTCCTTGGTAAGTAAATTCATAGACCTTCTGTTTTCTCTCCAGAGATGGAAAATGAAGCTTGGTCTTCTCGTTTTTTGGAACTTAGCTCCTCTGCAAAATCTTCTTTCCTATGCTGCAGGAATGCTTGCCTTGCTCCTGGATACTGATCTTAGTTCAACTCAGAGAGACTATGCTCAAACAGCACAAGCCTGTGGGCAGGCACTGATAACTTTGATAAATGAGGTGCTGGACCGGGCCAAAATCGAAGCTGGAAAGTTAGACCTGGAGACTGTCCCATTTCACCTTCGATCCCTATTAGATGACGTGCTTTCTTTGTTCTCTGAGAAGTCTAGGAACAAAAGCATAGAGGTTGGTGTTAACTATCAGTCTCAGCTTAAAGGTTCTTTATACATCAGTTTAGACATTCCAATTATGCAAAGTCCTTATGTTCTATCTGACATTGTTTGTCACACATCCTCTCTCAAAACAGTTGGCTGTGTTTGTTTCGGATAATGTTCCGGAGTTGGTTGTTGGGGATCCTGGAAGATTCAGACAAGTCATCACAAATCTTGTTGGGAACTCAGTGAAGGTAATTAGTTGGCTTGATCATTTGACTCCTTCATTGTTTATATGGGGCTCTGATATTACACAAGCATGAAGCACCCCTCAAGGGTTCTATTTAAGCTATTGGCGAGATCTTACAAACTGAAAAATGATCTGTGCAGTTCACTGAACGAGGACATATTTTCCTTAGAGTTCATCTAGAAGAGCACGCCAGGGCCGTCAAGAACTCAAAATCCAACATCAGTAGTCCTATGGATGGAGAGGAATCCGATTCCCAACAATTCGGGACCTTAAGTGCTTTAGAGGCTGCCAATGAGTGGAACAGCTGGGACACCTTCAAGTACTTCGTTGCTGAAGAAGGGTTCACAATGAAAGATTCATCAAATGGAGGAACAACTCATGAAGATGCAACTGGGAACCTTGTCACGTTGAGAGTGTGCGTGGAAGACACCGGGATAGGAATCCCTCTGCCGGCTCAGTACCGTGTTTTCATGCCATTTGTGCAGGCAGACAGTTCGACGTCGAGAACCTATGGAGGAACGGGGATTGGATTGAGTATCAGCAAGTCTTTGGTTGAACTCATGGGCGGACAGATAAAGTTTGTCAGCCGGCCTCGTGTTGGCAGTACTTTCACATTCACAGCAGTTCTACAGAGGTACCAGGGAAATGATGTGAACAATGCAGAGAAAAAACGAAATGCTGAAGACCTGCCTTCGAGCTTTAGAGGACTGAAGGCGGTAATAGTAGATGCTAAACCGGTGAGGGCAGCTGTTACTCGGTATCACCTTAGGAGGCTTGGCATTGTAGTTGAAGTTGCTAGTAGCATCAAGGTGGCAGCTACTATGTTTGGGGAAAATGATACCCTTGCAGCCGGGTAAGCTTCTATTCATGACGTGTCTACCTATCTTTTCATATATAACGTTAAAACATTTTGCTTGTTGATCTTCTGGAAAATGCAGGAAGAACAGTCAGCCTGACATAGTTCTTATGGAGAAAGACGCATGCTTCTCTGGGGAGGAACACGGTTCACCAGTATGGCCATCAGATTGGAAACAGAATGGAAATAAGAATAGTGTCCGAAAGTTTGCAAAGATGATCCTGATAGCTACCAATATCAGCAACTGGGAAGTGGAGAGAGCTAAAGAAGCAGGGTTTGAAGACACTGTGATCATGAAGCCCTTGAGAGCAAGCATGATGGCTGCATGTCTTCATCAAGTTCTTGGAACGGGGAGGAAGAAGTCGCAAGGTAAAGGATCGTCAAATTACCTGCAGAGTAGTCTACTGTGTGGCAAGAAGATTCTCGTGGTTGATGACAACAGAGTGAACCAGAGAGTCGCTGCTGGGGCATTGAAGAAGTTTGGTGCCAATGTCGAATGTGCTGACAGTGGCAAAGCTGCCCTTGAGCTGCTTCAGATACCGCATGGGTTCGATGCTTGCTTCATGGATATTCAGATGCCTGAAATGGATGGGTATATGCCTTTTTCGACATTGCTCCTTTGTATTATTTTCTTGTTCAACACATTGCCTCTAACATGTGTATTCTAGGTTTGAGGCAACGCGACAGATAAGGCAGATGGAAGAGCAAGCGAATGAGAAGTTGGAAGCAGAAGGTTCGATCGTAGAAGACGGGGAGGATGGATGGCATTTGCCGGTATTAGCCATGACCGCTGATGTGGTACAGGCGACGTACGAGGAGTGCGTGAAATGTGGGATGGATGGATATGTGTCGAAGCCATTTGAGGAGCAGAAACTGCATCAGGCAGTTGCCAAGTTCTTCCAAGATAAGCCCATTTCTAGGTCATAATCGGTCAACCAAATTACAGAGGAGATAAGATTTTGATGATTCTTTTGACGGGCAATGTAGATGCATTGGTTTGCTAACCGGTTTCATGTTAGGCCTTGCTAATGCTAGGTGAAGGAAAACGATAATGAATGGAGAAGGTAGAAATTATGTGCCCACCATCTCGTCTCATCTCATTTCATGTTTATATAGCATAGGAGATTTGAGGGGATGAATCGGTGTTAGAAACCGATTTCTGTAGGGTTTCTCTATTTATTAATATAATTATAATTAGGGTAATTATCAATAAGGTTAGTAGTCATTTAATAGAATTAGGTTTTATTGTTAGGGTTTTTCACTATTTCTTATATATATATATGTACTTTGGGCTTCCATTCAGAATCAATAAGAAGCATATTAAGAAAATCCCTAAACCCTATTCTCTCCCAAATTCTCTCAATTTCTCTTCTTTCCCTAATCCGGCCGCCGGCCATTCTTTCTCGTTCTTTCCCAAATTCTTCCTCTTAATCCCAAATTCTTTTCTCAAATCCCTAAATCCGAATTATCAAACCCGTTAGAAACCTTGTTTCTAACAATCGGCCATCTAAAGTGAAAGAAAGTAAATTGTCAATTTTTGTATCTCTTGAGGGTTTTTTTTTCACTCATCTTCTGAGGTTTCATGTCAATGTGTTCGTTGATCCATTTGATAAATAAATTCATGGGACGGCTGAAACAATCAAAACAAGGAATTTGGTGGGACAGCCAGCCCCCGATTGAAATTGAAGGAGGACCAAAGAACTCCGAGCAAAACCAAAAAGGGGCAGGCGCTTCTTGATGCATACCAGAAGCCGCAGTGGTTGCTTTGCTTGCTGCTCTCTTTCTCTTCTGGCATTACGGACCACAAAATAAATCATTTCATACCGACCAAACACCATAAAATAAAGAAAAGAGAACTGCTAGTACTAACTATAGCCATAAATAAAATACAAATTATCAGATAGCTACAACTGGCCGCTGAGGAAAAGCCGAAAAGGACAAAAAATAATCCAAGGAAAGCAAGCAAAATGAGCTGTCGCCGTCGTTGCATGAATGAATAAATAAATAAAAATTACATTTTGCATTATTACCTGGATTGTTGTCTGTGATATGATTTTATTTTATTCTGTTAATTATTAAGGTTAAACAAAGGCTGCGACAAACTTGGAGGATTCGGATCGAGTCGAATCATTGGTCTGACTCTGACTGTACGTGTTCTTCCTTTTGTTACTCATCTCTTCTATGCTGCCTCCCGATCAACTCTTATCGTAGACCATAAATAAATCCACTTGCTTTCTCTATTTCCTTTCTCGTTTTTATTTAATACGAGAATTCGCAATTAGACAAACAGATGGTAACAAGCCAATTTAATTAATCCCCACTTGATAACTAAATAGAGAAGGTATACACGCGTAATTGCACTTTTGAGGTATGTGCGAGAAACAAATATATAATTAAGTATCCAATTAAGCAAATTGGTCATACTAGATAATTTCATAATTTTCCCAGAAAAAGCAACCTCGCAATTAAATATATAATAAACAGTTTTTTCGTGACTTGTAGAAGATCAGCCAATACATTTATCAATGGAGAATGTCGCCCACATGGATGTAGTAATAGTGTAAGACAACCTAACTTTTTTTTTTTTTTTTTTTTTGAATAGAACAACCTAGCTAGTGTGCATGGTGCTCGTGCACCCACGATTGGAGTTAATTAATATGATGTCTTGTAATTAGGAGTTAGGTGTAGAACTTTGACATTTCTAACCATATTGTTACCCTCATTTAACATCTCAACAAGAGAACCCTGGACCCCCCAAATGTCCTTTCATTGGCTCAAGCAATGTAAGTATCAAACGTTTGAATCATACCGCAATCAAGTGGAAGCTCCTCTCTTCTGGGAAAGGAGGATGTTGAATTGTTGATCATATGGCCAGCTAAAATGATGTGTCCTTCATCAAGAAACCAGGAAGGTCCTGAAAAGAACCTGTGTCACAAACCGAGCTGCTGACCCAAACCGGATTGATCGTTTCCAGCTAGTGACAGACTTATGCCACGATCGACTACTTTGAGTAGGGCAACATTGTTAAACAAAGATATATAAAAATAGAAACAAAGAATAAAATTATCTTAATAAAACGATATACTATATATTGAATTCGATTCGACACGTTTTCGAATTTTTATAGGCCACACTGAGTTGAACATAATTGTTATGTTCGTATATAATTTTTGTTTGACTCGTCAACTTGGAATTCAAAGCTTCTAGTTTAGTCATAAACTTTTGAAGTGTAATCTTTTGATTAACCATAAAATTTCCCAAAAATCTGCATCTATTAATTGTGATATATATCTAAACTGATATCAACCACAAATTTGAAAATTTATGAACGATTTTTTATGCGTGTAGTCTATGCCACACAAGCGGTTGTTAATGTGCCTCAGTTCGACTTCAGGGGACAATCTGCGAAGCGTCCGGGGCTCCACTCCTTCATGGGAGTAGTGGAGTCTCCTGCCATCCAGAGGAATCTTGTAATCTCTTCAAACTCGACCCACGCTGTGCGCCAAATTGTTTAAGTCTAGAAAGTACCAGACGGGATTAAGACCGAGTCTGCTGAGATCACGCATTTCCTCTAGTGCAAGCGAACTCCTTTCCTGCAGAAGAGATTCGGAGGCGGGGCCTCAGATACTCTCCGATGATTATAAGTTAGTATTTTATAGAGAGAAAGTAGATAGAGAATGAGGTAGCTCGGTTGCCATTAAATGATATGGGTGAGTTGTATTTATAGTCGATGGTCACTTGTACGAGCATTTAATGCTCTGTTGTGCGTGTACTAGGGCTTGTCTTCCCGAGGCCACGCTTACGGTTGCATTTAATCCTATGTCAGTAGTCGCATGATTAACCCTACAATTGTCCCGTCAACTGTACTTTGCCTGTATTCCGCCTATGGCGTTGCAGATGTCCCGTCTCCTAGCTACGCTTCGCACTACTACACTCTCGGTGGACTTCGATTGGGCTTATTTGGCCGAGTCGTGTTACATTGGCCTAGATTTAGGAAGCAACCCTAATTAGCCCAACATATATCAACCACAAATTTAACAAACTCTGAACGATTTTTTTATGCGTGTAGTCTTTGCCACACAAGCGGTTGTTAATCGGCTGATCATTTGGAGCAACAAAACGGAATCTTATCGTGTTAACATATCATTCATCGACCTTACCCCCCAAGCAAAGGATGAGACGCACACAAAACTGCCGAGTCACCATTCGGTTAGGGCACAAATATATGCTTTCTTCAATTCCTATCCAATTCAACCTCCTCGTTGCTGAAAGATGATATGATTGTCTACGTGCTTATCTGTCTCTTCTCTGACGCGGTCATGGACTGGACCCTTAATTCACATTCTCATCCGCCCCTCTGTGGCCCTTAATAACCCCACTTGCGTATTTCTTTCTCCTCCTAATTATTTGGGTCGCCACCAAATATTACCCTTTTCAGTTTGTTACAGGACCGTATTTTGTCGACTAACACAATAATTGAATGGCCAATAAACTAGTCACGCCACCCAAATCTGAACCCACTCAAATTCGGTAGGAGAAAGAAAATGGAAGTAGTTGAGAAACATCACCAGCTGTGCTGTTTGGGATTCCTTAATTTACCATCTCAATAATTGGTTTGGAAAATTGGATTTATTTAGCGGAGTAGATTGGTCGCCTTTGTTACTGTTTTCCGTCGTGTTTAACAGAGCGACTACTCACCTTTACGTATTTGTTATTGCTTTCGGTCGTATTTAGCAGAGCGACTACTCACCTTTACGTATTGTACAGATTCTCGTTGTTAGACAAAATGATTAATTTCGAGACCCATGTTTGTTAAATTTGTACTTATCTATATAGAAATCTTATCGTTGACTAATTTGTTCATTAGAGTTATATGAGGAGACCTATTATCCTACTCATTTAGGTACAATTTTGTTAAAATTTTTGTAATTTATCAATTTATAATATAGGTTAGAATAACTGAATCGCTATTTGCCGCCCGTCGTATTACTATTTGCCGCCCATAGTTAGAAAAGAAAAGACTAATTTACCCCTGCCCCCTAACCCTATCTATCCACCTCCTCCCCCCTCCCACCCACCCCCACCCCCACTGCTCCTCCCCCCTCACCCCCACCCCCACTGCTCTGCCGACCATCCTCCCACCTCACCGACGCCGGCGACAGTCCCCCCACCCTCCCACCTCACCGACGCCGGCGACCACCCTCCCTGCTCGCCGGACCTCCTCCTCCTCTGCTCGCTGACGCCGCCGGACCTCCTCCTCCTCTGCTCACCGACGCCGCCCAGGAGAAGAAGCTCGCCAGGAGAAGCCGCGGCGCCGCTGCTCAAGTCGTCGGCGAGGAGGTAAATTTTTTTTTTTTAATACAGTAAGCTCGCCGTCCGCCTGGCCGGAGCGGACGCGGTCCGCCTGGCCGGAGCGGACGCGGTCCGCCTGGCCGGAGCGGACGCGGTCCGCCTGGCCGGAGCGGACGCGGTCCGCCCGGTCTGGTCGGACCCCGTCCGCCCGGTCTGGTCGGACCCCATCCGCCCGGTCTGGTCGGACCGATCTGATTGGGTTTCGGGTTCGATTTAAATTAATATTTAATGTATTGATTTTAAATACAATTGTTAGTATCTTAATATTTTAGTATTGATAGTGAATAATTAGTATATAATTGATAATTATATAATGTGCTAGTTTATTAATTGGGTAAGTTGAAATAATTATTTAAATAACTATATATTGTAAAATAACTATCTAGTTAAATTAATTAGATAATCAAGTTGTATATATCATAATTAATAATTGATAAATTATGAATATGAACAAATTGCTAATCAAATAATTTATTATAAGAGATTAATAGATAATTATGGACTATGCTAATAGATCATTTATTATAATAAATATGTAAAGAATTATTGGATTAAATAAATTGTTAATTTTAAATAATTATCTATGATGTTTTAGTTAAGTAATTGAGTAAGTTGAAATAAATATTTAAATAACTACCTATCGTATTAAGTAAAATAACTATCTAGTTAAATTAAGTAAAATCAAACGAAATAAATTGCATGTATCATAATTACTCTATAAAACAACAAGTAATTGCTCAACAAATAATTTCCAATAAGATATTAATAGAAAATTATTGTCTATATTTAGAGATGGCGTCATCTGGTAATTCTGGAGGATCACGTAGTTCTGGAGGACCAGGAAAGAGATTGAAAAGATTCATTGGGCGTAACATTAGCGCTAGTGTGAGAAATAAGGACGGAAATGATAGAGATGAGCCACAGCCTCAGCCACAGACACAGCCACAGCCTCAGCCACAGCCACAGGTGACACCGATGAGATATAGGGCAGACGGTTTCCCTGAGTTTGATTTTCGGATGCCTAGTATGGGTGGTAGTGGAGCTGGTCCCAGTATTGATCATCATACTTCACCGTTTGAGCCTTCAGACGAGATTGACGACGAGTCGGAGGAGTATGAGTCGGATGCTGTTGAGACACGTATTCCACGAGTCAGTCCGATCAGAGACAGAGGTGCCCCCAGCGTTGCGTCACCTGTCGTTACTGGGGTTCATGCTGTTACTGGGATCTATAGAGACCATGCAGGGCGTTTCTATAGAGCTCCACAGCCTGGTGAGGGCCAGAGTTCTACTGCTGATGTAGGAGAGGCCTGGGAGCCTAGAGGACCGTGTCCTGGAGGGCCGAGCGACCCGAGTTTGCTCTGTAGCTTTCTTGGGCATGTTGCCCACCGTCTGTACACGGGAGAGGCTGATAGAGGGGTGATCACTTGCTACGACAGGAAGTGCGACCCTTTGTCACGTTCTCGGCGGTTATCAGATAGCAGATGATAACGCTAGGACTACCGTAGAGACATCGGGCCTTGCTCACCTCGTTGATATCACCTTCCAGAGAGAGTTGGACCCTGCTCTCATCTCGGCATTTGTGGAGAGGTGGCAGCCGGATACTAACACCTTCCACATGCCGTTTGGAGAGATGACGATCCTCCTTCACAACGTGGCACACATTCTTGGGCTTGCGGTTGACGGAGAGGCGATGGTAGTGGATCCGAGGCAGTTGGAGAAGTTTGCACTGGAGGCTGACATCCGAGCACTACTGGGATTAGATCGTGACGAGGATGAGTACGGGGCGCAGGTTGGCGAGGTTGCTAGTCTGTCTAGGTGGTACAGAGGATTTGGTTTGTCGGGTGTGGGAGCTTTGACTCATTTGCAGCAGTCTGGTCCGCCAGCTAGAGAGGCTCAGTGCTACCTTCTTTTGCTGCTTGGGTCCACACTGTTCGTAGATAAGAGTAAGGACCGCGTTTCTGCTGTTGTGAACTTGTTTGTGAAGAGGCCGGATATGCTAGGAGAGTATGCGTGGGGGGCTGGAGCACTTGCTTATCTGTACAGGCAGCTTGGTATTGCCTCCCAGGCGGAGGCTAAGGGAGTGTCGGGTTGTCTGACTTTACTACAGTGTTGGATTTACGACCACTTTCCTACTTTGAGGCCTACTCGGTTGGAGCCACGAGAGCTGGAGCGGGGGCAGGCAGGAGCATTCAGGTGGCGCGGTACAGCACCCCGGTCGAGTAAGAGGAGGGATGCACAGATGCTGGCTTATTATCGGCAGGCGATCGATAGTTTGACCCTCAGTCAGTTAGTTGGACTCCGTATGGTCGTAGTCCTCATCTGACGGTGAGACGTACCTTGTATCAGGGCCTGCTCAGATTTGCAGAGATAGCAGAATATTATGATCCCACTAGGTGCCTCCGACAGTTAGGCTACGTGCAGGGAGTACCGTATCCACCGGAGCGTCCGCTTGTTGTGCGTCGACCTGCTTCCACGCTTGGATACTCTCTTAGCTACCATTCTGTCTATGATTCGTATTGGAACAACTTGGGGGCGCATAGTGTGCATCTGGACGTTTTTTCTACTCCGATACGACGTAGGCCATGGGAGTTTGCTGAGAATTACATGTCGCGGTACATTAGGCACTCGCACCCACATATACTGAGTGACAGCCGACCTGTTGAGGACATCTCGGATGCTGATACGGTTAGTACAATTATATTTTAAATTATTTGTATTAATTATTTGTAACTAATATGTATTTAAATTGTATGGTTTTTTATTACAGTTGTCACGCGAGATGTGGGTTGAGATATCTCCCGTGATGGATGCTGCACAGGGTAGTAGGGAGGAGTGGATGGCTAGCGCCAACGAGTACTACGACTTATGTCATGGAGTTGGGAACATTTGGCCCGAGTTTAGGAGGAAGTCAGATTTTCTACCACCTCCACAGTAGTTGTATGATTATTATGTCATATGTATGAGTGTTATTTGTTGTTTTTAGACGAGTTGACTTATGTGGTGTTCAGTTGCTTATTTGTTGTTTTGGGACTATGACTTATGTTATTTGTGTAATCTGATAATGACTTATGTGGTTTATGTTGTACTTTGGATGTTTTTATTATATCATGCTTCCATGTGACGTAAACAAACTCCATTACAATTTATTTAAATTGAAGACGTTCATTTACAATTTATTTAAATTGAAGACGTTCATTACAATTTATTTAAACTGAAGACGAGTACAAGTTTATTTCTTTGGACCCCTCTTTTTGCGTGATGGAAAGTTACTCGCCGCACCCCCAAGATCGAACCACATTTGAAAAAACGGCGCGAAATATGTCTCCCATCCATCCACGCTTTCTTGGTGACCGTTTGGCCACATGGCATGTGGAGGGGGCATCGGTATCTTGTCCGCCGGGAAAGAGAGGCTGATCCAATGATTCTGGACGAAATGCACAACAATGACTCCTCTAGGGTGGGCTTCCCCATGTATGTTGTCCACTGGCAGAATGGTGCATGGGTACGATTGTGGAGTTGGGTAGAGGTAAGTGCTGTACATGACAACCGCCAAATTAAATAGTGTAGCAAATACGAATAGATCCACACCCATCATCCAATGATGTTTAGTCGTTGGTGCTGTAGTAGTGATGTCAATGCGTCTGATTGCATCATTGATGCCGGGACCGTAGATGGTGCGTATCGCCAATCGTGCTCACGCATTTCTTCAGCAAGTCGTGCCCTCACCCCTGTGAACCCTTCTTGACTACCATATAGTGCAAAACTAAGTGCACGAAACCCACAATGACCGTCTGGCGCCGGGTCGTGGATGGCAATGACAAGCGGCCGAATGAAGACAGGAAGGTGTTCCATGTGTGGGTAATCAGAATGGGTGCTGCTGGCTCCAGGGATATCTGTGAAGGAAATAGGTAATCAGCACAAATGCGATGTAAAATATTAATATAAATAACTACACTTATGAAAAATTAATTGTACCTGTGTCAGGACAGTTGTATCTGTTGTTATCTTCTGGGTCATCACACTTCCTCCGCTGCATGGTCGTCTGACGGATACTCGTCTGTCTGAGTCCCCGTGGACTTGGTACTGGTCGACTTTGTAGACCCCGACGTTGTGCTTCCCGACTTCTTTTTCATGCTTTTCTTATTGCCTCGCAGTAATCTTTTTCCCACCAACCTTTCATTCTCCAGTTGATTTTTTGGCTGGGCGCCCCTTTCTAAATTCGTTCACTTCTGGCTCGTGAATGTTGTCCTCCGCCGGGTGGAGACCGCGAAACACGTTCTTTGCTGCTTTTTTAGTTGCCTCTGGTCCTCTGCGTACAGCCTCATCAACCAACTCCCGAAGGTGAGATCTAGCCTCCTCCTCCTGGGGAACGTACTCCTGAGCATTGGGTGGATGCTCATATGACAGTGTCCGCCAATATATATGAATATCACCGGGATATATCTCTATGTCTCGCGCTCTGCCATCCATAACTTGACATCCACACCTCAAGCCGTGTGTCACAGAGAAATGACATGCACATCGGGAGTTCTCATTTTTTTCCAAGCGGGCACCCAATTCTTCTTCAGCCTCCTTCATTAATATAATTGCCTGCATGCTGACCTTCCTTCTCAAGAATGTGAATGGTGTACCACCGGATGCTGAAAGGGTTTTCTGTCTAGAGTTTTCCAACATCATCCTAACCTCCCCGAGTTGGTTAGTAATGTAGCGGTGGTTTCCTTTCCATACAGTGTCCATAGATCCCCGCGAGTTGTGGAGGAAAGTCTTCAAAGCGGAATGTGACGACTCAACCCTGTTTGTGCTCGTATTTCCTAGATGAAACACATTTTTTGTATGACAAACAGCCCACTTTTCTCGATGTTGCCACCACACTCCCTGTATGTATTGCAACAGACGTGGTTCTTGATTGCCCCATCTTGTCCTAAAGCGGCCAAACGCGGCCAACATACCTTGCTCTGACCAAGAATAAAGCATAGGACACCAATATTGGTCGTACGCCTCGTTGACCAAATCCATCCTGTTCTTCCCAAATATTTCCAAGCACTTCTTCTGCACATTGGTGTTGATGTGCCAAACACATAGCAAATGCGGGGTGCGGGGGAAGACCACAGGAACCGTAGCAAGTAGTCCACCTTCGTGGTCGGTGACGATGACAGAGGGCACGCGAGGATGGAGCAATTGTTGTATGCACTGCAACAGCCACAAATACGACTCTTTTGTCTCATCCTTCATGAGAGCACAACAGATGTTGAAATTCTTCCCAACTGGAGTTGCACCTACGACCTCCACCCACGGCCATTTATATGCATTGGTCTTATACGTTGAGTCGATCAGAATCACGTACGGCCAAGCCTTCAACATCTGGATGGAAGTTGGATGGGCAAAGAAAAGATGTGTCAGCACGTCGTCATCGTCCTTCATAACCTCTGTATGATAATTCTCACGTTCAGCTTGTAGCAACGCATACTGCACTGCATTCATCTCGCCCATCTCTTCTTTCCTAGACTTGGACCCGAGGTTATACATCTGCCTTTGGGTGTGATGCCCTTTGTCACCCTTCTGCTTGTTTATTGTCTGCTTCTGTTGCGACGGAGGTACCCCAGCATCTCTCATCTGCCTAAGAGATTCTTTATCCTCCTGACTCAATTTATTCATTTGACTGTGGCCCTCGGGATAAAGCATTTTCTCATGACTGTGATACCCTCGCCTTAAACCGGTTCCTTGCTCCGCGACTCCTTGTATCTCCCAGAATGTAGGTCCATCAAGAGCATCTGGATTAACCAGTAGTTCTTTGATTTTAATCTTGAACATGCATCCCGCTCCTTTTGAACTTGTATTGCCACGACTCTCTTTGGAAGGATCCGGCTTGTATGACTTCCTCTCCCTACTGCATCTGTCGCAATACATATAACAGATACCCAATGATCTTTCGTTGCCCAACTCACGTGGCTTCATCGATCCCTTAGTTAGAAAGAAACCAAGAGACATCGCGATGTTTTTGGTCACTGTTACAGCATCTTCGAAATTGGCATATCGGACGCCATTGAGAAAATGGTCTGTGTAATCACCAATTAGTTCAACATTGTCAGCCATGTCCACCTGCAATTATGATTTTGACTCTCGTTAGAAATGTACAAATTATATGATTCTACAAAATTAAACTAAATGCAATAATTTAATTAAGTCTAAAAAATACAGATAATTTAAATATAAATTATTAAACCAAATTAGCTCTACGATTTAAATCTAAACACAATAAAACTAATTTGCGCTACAACAAAACACAATCACTTAATTAAACTAATTGTGCTTTAATTGACTCTACAAAATTAAACTAAATGCAATAATTTAATTAACTCTAAAAAATAATGATAATTTGACGATAAGAAAATTATTTAATATAAATTATTAAACATCTTTAGCTCTACGAATTATATCTAAACACAATAAACTAATTAGCGCTACAACAAAACACAATCGCTTAATTAAACTAATTGTGCTTCAATTGACTCTACAAAATTAAACTACATGCAATAATTTAATTAACTCTACAAAATAACGATAATTTGACAGTAAGAAACTAATTAGCGCTACAACAAAATACGATTCGCTTAATTCAAACTACAAAGGAATTTAACTATGTAAAATAGAAATAAAAGCAATAAATTATAAATTATTAGCTCTAGAAATAAAATAGAAAAAATACAACACTGTTTGCAACCGGTCGTCGCTCGCCGGCGTCGGACCCCGTCCGCTCGCCGGCGTCGGTCCCCGTCCGCTCGCCGGCTTCGGACGGCGACCGACGACGGCGAGCGGACGCGGTCCGACGACGGCGAGCGGACTGGGTCCGACGACGGCGAGCGGACGGGGTCCGCCTCCGGCTAGCGGACGGGGTCCGACGCCGGCAAGCGGACCGAACAAAAAATTCAGGATCAGCAAGAAGTTTACCTGCTTCGCTGGTCCGACGACGGGGTACGGCTGCCGTCCAGTGCCCGGCGAATTATCCTGACGAGATTGGTCCGGTGGCCGGCGAGTTTGGCTGCCGTCCGGTGGCTGTGGTGTTTGTGGGGGGTTGGTGGTCGGGACTCGGGTAGTGTGTAAGTTGTTTAAAAAACCATTTCAGCGAATAGAATATAAAGAAATATTTGGAGGGAAAAATTGTCCTTTTAGTGTTTTTTACGGGCGGCAAATAGTAATTGCCCGGGCGGCAAATAGTAACCCTCTTCGTCAAACCGCAAGGCCAACAACGAACCAATCCCCTTCCAGATCGCGCCTCCCCTGGCCTTGGCGGCCTGGCCTTAATCCCCCATTTTCTTCCCCCCTAAGAGAAATTTTACAATGCTATATAGTATTGGTGCTATAGGTTTTTGCCTTGATGGTACAACTTAAAATTGTACATTTATGTTATGGTACAACTTCAGATTGTACCTATACTTTTTGTACAAATTCTTTTATGGTACAACTTGAACTTGTACATTTATGTGATGGTACAACTTCAAGTTGTAAAGTTGTACCATAACATAATGGTACAAATTGCTTTATGGTACAACCTAAACTTATACATTTAATGTTATGGTACAACTTTGAGTTGTACATTAAAGCACCAATACTATATAGCATAGTAGAAGTGCTCCCCCCCTAATTGGAAAAAAGTTTCCCTCTCTTTGTCATCATCAGCTGTCTACTTCTTCGTATTGTAATCCACATTCCTCCGATTCCACTTCCGCTACTGCTAATCCATCTTCTCCGTCTCCGGGCAGGCAGGCAGGCAGGGGAGATGTGCCCTCTCCGCATCATACTCGTCTTCCTCTCCGCCACTCTCGCCGGCTTCTTCCTCGTCCGCAACCTCAACTCCTCCCAAGCTCCTCTTCCCGACGACCGCGGCGATTCCACCCACTCATCTTCCACTACTCGATTCACCAAGGTTCTTCTCCTTATTCTACTGCTGCTACTGTATTGTTAGCCTATTTGCTCTCAGTTTTACACTGCTGCAATTGTTATGAACACTAAGTAATTTCCCCTTCGTCTTCTTCTTTCCAATTGTTGCAGATCCGGTCAGCTGTGGAGTCCGGGTTCTGGACCTGCGTTGACATGGCTAGTGGTCGCTACCTCTGGAGGCATCTCACCTCTTCCGCTTCCAAACCTTGCAATTCATCCAATTACCTGTTTCACCCAAGTTTGCGATGAACGCTCTTACCCTTTGTGTTCCATTTTGTGTTAATGGATGGGGGGGGATTGCTTATACTAGTTCCTGGAAATTGACAGATAGTGGCGTGATATCGCATACCTCTTGTTGTGTGTGTCGTTGATGATAGTGTTGTTGTATGTTAGTGCGTTCCCTGTGGTGCTAAACTGCCATTTGAAGCGTTGGTTAGCATTGTAATTAGTTCTAAATATAATCAAAGTGTTTTACATCTTCCGCACTTGCACACTGTCTTTGACTCATGAAATTTCCCTTTTTTACTTGCTTCTGTTAAGCATATCCATTTCCATGTTTTGAACGTGAAAGTATGGGAAACTTTGAAATCATCGAGTTATGTAGTTGTGATTCTTGTTTTGAATGTGATGATGGGTAGCATTGGTTATGTATGCTCTTGTTGTGTCCCGGTTTTATGATGATTCTTGGAACAGAATGCATTACTACTTCTTGGTTTGGAATTGAGCATCAGGTTCAAGGAAAGCCATCTGGTGGTTGGAATGTGGATGCTGTTTAAGAAGATGAGAATTTATGACAGTTTGATGTCAGCTTTCGAATTTGTTTTCGCAACTTAGATTGTGTCGTCTATGGTCACTGTTGATGGGTGTTTTCTTCAGGGCTGCAATGTGTTTACTGCTGTTCACCTTGATTTCAACATGACTATGAAAAACTCCTGGAAATGGTTTTTCTTTTGCCGAGAATAGATGTGCGTTCTCTTTGTTGGTATTGTCTCCTTGTTTTTGCTGCGCTATGGAAACTTGGGAAATAATATTGATTGGTCATTTACCAGCATTGTTGTTGTCGCCACTCTAATCCTCCGTCCAGATCGTTAACACAGTTTGTTACTCTTTTGATATGACTAACAGAACCTAAGGCTGAGCAGCTCATTCTCTTGAGTTAGAGTCGTATCTTGGTTCTGTAAGATTGATGCGTATGATACTGTTCGATGTACAAGATGGTATTTGCAGGTGAGGCGTTGCAGCTTCAGGAATTTGGAGCTGAATTAAGATGCTAGATGATCCTTGGTGCTATGTCGTGTAATTTATTACAACACAGTTTAGACTTTAGAGAAGCTCTGGATGATCTCCTGTATTATGGATGACTATTACATGTCTTATTCTGATAGAAGACAATAGAACTCAGTTAGAGTGGTGGCAATGGATGCAACTATATGATGCCATATTGCTTTGTACTAGCATGCATACTGGTCACCTAATAAGGGGATTGATACTCAGTTTCTTACCGTGGAAGATGACCAGTGTTATTCTTGAGTACAATGGTGATTCTTGAGGCCTCAATGTGAAGGAAGGAATTGTTTTGTTTTAGTCGTTGTCCGTCGATCGAACTTTTGCCTGATTTCTGATGCCATGAAATCTCTCCAATTCTGGAATCCTATCCAAATTATACTTGAACAAGCCATTGTGAAGTCGCTGCATGAGCTCGAAGAGTAGTTCGCATTGGTTGATTTCTACCTGCTGAAAATTGTTCTACTCCTGGTAATAACACTATCAGCTAGTTGACCGAACAAGTTCCTTGTTGATGTGCATCCGTAGCCTTGTGATAAACAGTCCATGCTCTATAAACGTGTCTTGTTATGAATTCTACGGTTCTGAAAATTAATTACAAATATGTACTAGATTCTGTCATCGAATTGATCGACTCTAATAAGTAATAAGCATAATGATAAGGAGATTTGGTGATCAAGTTTGATTTTGAGAAGATATTTTATCACTTGTTATCCTAAACTTGGACAAAGTTGCTTATGTATGCTTTCTCGTTTACATTCTTGAGTGAATGGATATGTTTAATCAAAGTGTCTCTTTACTATAATAACATATCAAACATAACCTTATGCGAGATTTTCCTTCAAAAATCTATTGACTTTGCCCCTAAAAATTTCACCACCACCACAAAGAAAAAATTTCTCCATCATAGTCGATCAAAGAAAAATATTCGGTCTCAATTCATCCCCTCCGTTTTGGTCACTCCTTCAAGAAATATGTATATTTTGTCTATAGCTAAAAATTCTCCAGAGTATCTCCATCCCAACTTTTAGTAATTGCTGAAGTGAGGTAAAACTTATGTGACAATTTTTTAGCAATGGCTAGTGATGTGGGGTGCTTGCTAAATTAACAAGATTGCTAATTTGGAAAGTCCTCTAGTAGTACCTAGGGGTGGACAACGGAAAACGGGTATATGGGAATACCCAAACCCGACCCGTTTTTTTAGGTTTACGGGTACCCAAATACCCTTATATTTATTGTGGGATGGGACTTGGAATTAAGAATCACAACATTGGGTACCCGCGGGTTACCCGCTAATACCCGTTTGGATACTTTAGGTACCCGAATTACCCGTATAATATATCCATGAAAATTAAACGACAAATAATAGACTATATATAGTCCTACTTCTAATATCGTGAAGTGTTAGCACATAGTAGCCATCACTAGTTAGAGGAGTCATATTCTCCCACTGCAGAAGAACCATCCTTAGGCTTTGAAAAGCTCTTGGATTGAGCCATGGCCAACTCACCATCAATGAAATTAACTATATTCCATTACAAAATAAATTTAGTACTAAATTTAGTACCCATTTGCATGAACTTATGGGGACGCAACTTATGGGTGATAGACCGTTAGTTACACATGTTTTTACCCCTGCTCTTACTCCGTTTGAGGTATTGATTCTCGTGTTTTAGGCCGATTTCACGCTAGGTTGTGCTTGTTTATGATATTTCAGGTCCTAGTACGTGAATGGAGGCTTGGGAGCGAGTTTGAGGTCGATTGGGCGAGGATCGGACGCATGGCGAGGTTCTGAGGAAGGCGCACGAGCACATCCACAACCCGCACGGCCGTGCAAGTGACCAGTTTGGCCGTGCGGGATTGTGCGAGAGCACGCACGGGCAGAGCAGAAAACCCGCACGGCCGTGCAAGTGACCAGTTTGGCCGTGCGGGATTGTGCGAGAGGACGCACGGGCACAAGTGAAATCCGCACGGCCGTGCAAAGTGCAATCCTGGCCGTGCGAGATGGCTGAAGTTCGACTTAATGGTACGCCGCGTTTTGAGGTGCACGGCCAGAATGGTGATATGCACGGCCGTGCACCCTGGCCGTGCGAGTCGGGAAATTCTGGTTTTTAAGCGGATTCCGAGCCAAACAGAAGGGGATTCGAGTTTTTGAGAGACAGAGCGGTTCCTAGAGAGAGAAAGCGACGAACAAGAGCCTCCAAGTGCCCTAGATCGATCTTCAACACCATTGGAGCTTGGTTTGAGCTTGGAGAAGTGCCGATTCAACGTCCAGGAGCAGAAATCCATCTTCACAGTATGATTTCCGCGTCTGATCTGCTTTTGCTTCTCTTCCCTGGAGTAGTTCCCCATTCATCTGGTGTGGGAAACCCTAGATTCTGTATGTTAGGTTTGATTGTATGAACCCAAGTATGTTCTATGATTGATTATATTCGATTGAGGTTTGAATGATTGAATGACTTGAATCCTGATCAAATTCCTGTTGTTTCTGCTTTAACCTAGAATGATAATATCTGCCTAGGTTGATAGAGTATCCTTAATCGAAGGTAGTGAATTGGTGACTTTAGTCGAGGAGCCAATTCACTATTCTGTACCGAATTCCATTCGGTAGTGGAGGTTTTGTTCATAGGGCCTCAATCTGTTTACTCCGGTGTAGGTTAGTCGCCAGCTAGAGACTCAGATTGAGAGGGTCTGAAGACCTTTAGTCGAGACTTCAGACTGTTTGAGAACCTTCCGCAGTATAACTATCATAGAAATCGAACTTGGTAATTACAATCCGGCTTAACTGCAGTCTAGGGGGAACCATATCCGGGTGACCTCTCTTAACCTGAATACAACCGTTTAGTTGCTTTGCTTGCTTGTTAGTTTAGAACTTCACTAAAGTTTCATTGCTAGATAATACGAATTCACTGAGTAGTCATCACATCTAGGACCCGGGTTGACATTAAAACCCAACCCGCTATACTACGCTTTAGGAAGTGGTTACACTTGGCCATTTTCTAGAGTGACAGTAACAGCGAGTCAAGTTTTTGGCGCCGTTGCCGGGGACGGCTAGGTTGTTGAAGAAAAGTGATTTCTGTTACTTTAGCATTTTCATTTTTGCATTGAGTTTTTGTTTTTTTCCCACTTGTGCCTTCACGGGTTTGCATTGCTTGATTGTGTGCAGCTAGTGCATGACCCGTAGCCAGTCGGGAGGTTTACTGCCGTTGAATCCTGAGATTGAGCGCACCTGCAAACAACTTCGGAGACAACAGCAAGCTAGACTGGCTACGGTGGAGCGCCGAGACGGCCAATTGACCAGCGACTCCGAGGACGAGTACGAGATGGAAGGCGATCAGAACCCACCTCCTCAGAACCAGATCCTGGGGAACGACCAACACCCCCAGGGAGCTGGGCACCATCATCATCCACCACCACCGGGTCCCACCCTGGAGTACTACTATACTCCACGGATTGCTGACATCCGCCCGGTCATCCTCTATCCGCCCATTCCTGCAAACAACTTCGAGATCAAGCCATGCTGGATTCAGCTCATCACATCCTCTATCCAGTTCCATGGCTTGAAGGATGAGGAAGCCCGGGCACACCTTTCCCGTTTTCTGCAGCTGACGAACGGGTTCAAGCTGAATGGTGTTCCGGATGATGCAATCCGCCTTCACCTCTTCCCCCATTCTCTGGCGGGGAATGCTAAGAGGTGGTTGGAGACCCAGCCCCCATTGTCCATCACTCTTGGGACGATCTGGCTGACAAGTTCGTGCACAGGTATTATCCGGCATCGAAGACCACGAGATTCAGCGGGAGATCACTCACTTCCGCCAAGAGCCAGATGAGTCCTTCGTGATGCATGGGAGCGGTACATGGGATACTTCTGGCAGTGTCCCCATCATGGCTTCAGCGATGCTTTCACAGTAGGGAACTTCTACAGCCCTCACCCAGACAGCCAGAGGGTGATCGAGTCTCTATGCCCAGGAGGGGATATCCTTACTAAGACTCCACCCGAGCTGAACCAGATGATCAGTACCTTGGCTGCCCGAGACATTCCTGGGGGCAGAACAACAGAGGCAGGAATTCCCGGGACCGGGTGTGCATGCTATGGAGGCCAGATCCGGGTTAGAGTAGCAGGTGGCTGAGTTGGTGCAGACATTGAAGCAGCCTAACAGTCTCCTTCCGGGCCGAGGTGTAGCTACGCCTCCAGTAGCTCAGTGTCAGTGGTGTGAGAGCCCAAATCACCTGGTGGAGGATTGTCAATCTATGAGGGAGTCCTCCACTCCCCAAGAGCAGGTGGCCTTCATCGCCAATGTTCGGCGCCTCGACCCATACAGCAACACCTACAATGAGGATGGCGCCAGCATCCCAACTTCGCCTGGAGCAGCAACACCAACAAACCACCTGGTTTCCCAGCACCAGCAGGGGGTTTTCAGCAGAGGCAGCCCTTCCAGGATAGGCAGGGGCCACCACCACAGCAGCAGCCCTACCAGCCTAGGCAAGGGCAGCCATTCCAGCAGCCCAGGGCAGTTGCTCAGCCTCCAGCAGCCGCAGCTCCCGATAATCAGATGACGAGCTGAAGAACATTTTGCAGCATTCATGACCACCAGCAGGCGAATTTCAC